ACTACCTCACATGCTGTTAAACTATATTTTGTCATTGCTTTAAATGACTGACCACTAGTAACAGAATGTACTGTGCCTCATAAAGGTTAAACAAATGTATTTAACTTTAATAATATATATAGTCAGAAAACATTTTGACAACACAGTGCCCTGAAAAGATTTCAAATAGAAGTCAGGTGTCTGACTCTCTAAAAATAAAACAAAAATAAAAGTCCCTGTGTGATCTTTAATGAATACTCATAGAGACGAGAGGTGTTGATTACCTCACAATCCACTAAACTAGAGAAGGGAAAAAATAAATACACGTTTTACTTCACACACCTTAAATTAATGTTGACTTATAAGGGGATGGGGGGGGGGACTGGCTTTGAATATGTGTTTTTACCTCTATTGTTAGATCTGATTATGCTTTGAAATATGAAACATCAGCTATAGATTTCATCACTTCTAAAAAGTAGAGGATAAAATACATGAAGATAAAAACATTTTATGATTTGCAAAACACTGAAACCCCATAATTAATTGAAATTAAACATTGAAACTGAGAAATGTAATTGTAAAAAAAATAAATGATATGCCCATTACGATCTTAATGCTGACAGTATGTTTAAAAAAAGTTTGGACAGCAGCAAAGAACGAGGTAAAATGCTTAAAAAACACACCAGGTGGAACATCTCCCAGTTAACAAGTTAACTGACAACAGATCATTACATTTTTGGGCATAAAAAGCATCCCTGGCTAAGTCTTTCTAAAGTAAAGATTTAAGAAAGACTTTAAAAGCCAGCATCACTGAGAGTATGGGGTTGCGACGATATATACAGGTGTTTGAGCAACATGTGTGGCCAGATAGATAACATGTTTTTCAATCCAATTCAATGTCAATCCACATTCTGGACGTATAACCTTCAGCATGGCTTCGTAGTAAAAGAGGCCATCTGATATTTCGGCCTTCCTGCAGTACCCCCTTGTTACCCATTGCAACGGTTTGGAGCATTATGAAGTGTAAAATGAAGACCCAGGAAGCCCTAAACTGTAGAGAAGCTGCAACACTACATTAAGCAAGAAGGGTAAAACATTTCACTTTCCAAATTTTCCGAAACGCTTACAAAGTGTTGTTAAAAGAAAAAAAGTGATGCAACATAGTGGTAAAAATGACCTGTCCTGGGGCGCTGATGGCCTAGTGGTTGGGTTGCACCCCCATGTACGGAGGCTGTAGTCCTCCAAGAGGTCAGCCCCTGGTTCAGGCCTGACTTGTGACTCCTATCCCCCATGTCATTCCCCACTCTCTCTCTCCCAGTTTCTGACTCTATCCACTGTCTTCATCAAATAAAGGCAAAAAAGCAAATCAACATAAAAAGAATTGCAGGTAACATTAATGTTTCTGACATTACAGAGAGAAAGACACACAAGTAGAGCTGTTGTTTCAAATGCAGATTAGCAAAACGCTTAGTTTCCCTCACAGCAATGACGCAAAGTATATCGACTTTTTCTCTCCCCTTCAGGGACCCATCATGCTCTGTGCTGTCATTTACAGTGGCATTTTTAAATGTCACATGTCCACGAGGCACAGGATGTGACTTGACAATGTGGTAAGTGCAGGCCGATGCATGTTGTTTTTGCAGCACTAGATCTCTTTGCATTTTTCCAGCATTAACAAATGAGTAAGATTTGGTGCTTTATTCCTTGCGCTTTCAGTTTGGGCATTTATCTACAGAATAAGGGAAGTTTCAAGCATCACAAGTTGTGCTTTTACTCATTGTCTTTCCAGAGTGGCATCATTGAGAAGATTTTTGGAAAATCACTTGATAGACAGGTCTCAAAAAGGAAACTGGAACTGGAGTTTGTTGCCACAGGAAACATTCCTTTGTGTCGTATAGGGGTTTAATTTTGACAACTGTGTCAAAGTCTGTCGCATGAACTCTTGAGATTGGGCCCGGGCTGAATCTAATCCCTCACAGAACAACATGTGTTTAATCCCTCATGCTGTCATACATTTGTCCATTGTTAGTGTGCTTTATGAAGTGACTGTCAACTTCAGATACGACAGTGGACGTTTACAAGCACTTATTTGTGGTCATCGAGCAAGTGAGACATAATCAGAAGATGGAATGAAAAGTTTAAAAACAAATATTGTAATAGAGTAATTATTCAAATATTTGTATTAGATTCATCTGTATTTTCCTTTCACAGAGTACAACAAAATCCTGTTTAGCAACAGCTGAACCAGAGGTAAAGCAGGGAAATACATGTAATGTAGTATAAGGAAGTGGTAATAGGATAAACAGTGAGGGGTAGATAGAATAGGCAAAGTTATACCAATAAAGCTGAGGATCCAAAATGAAAGAACCTGTGTAATAGTGGTTGTAAATACGTCTCTTGAACATCGCCTGTGCCTGCTGTTTTAGAAAGGTTCACTGTCAACTAAACCTTTGGTCAAGGTATCCGCTTAAGTGTCACTTTCAACTGTTGAATTAAATACTTTGTTTGATTTTACACCAATTATCTGAGAAAGTTAAACTCCTCAATTCTGAATTAAAGCTATAGAGGCTTGGAACAGGCATATGTGTGTGACTGTGGATGTGAAGCTGCTCCCATTCTGCATCATAAAAAAAAAAAAAAAAAAGGTTGATGACTGAGAGAGGTGAGATTAGAGAGCGAGGCAGAGACGTGCTGCAAGGCCATATCTCACATACCGAATGCCTGTTAGCAATTTGAGGAACCAACAAATTCCATGGGCTACGGTAAAGACATAAAGTAATTAGCATGAGTAATCGCTGCATAAATCACATGTCAACCCTGACATTGTAAAGCAAAACAAAACGAAGATTAAGTTTCATTTTAAGTATTCTGTCAGGTGATTCTGCAGAAGTAGTGGTAATATCTTGTGTAATGCAAGAAGTTTTTCTTGGTTTTTAATTTTCTTCTGCATTTGAGTTGTTCATAAACGTATGTGGCATAAATGTCTCATGTACCTTCAGCTGATTTAAATAAAACAAAAAAACAAGAAGAAAACTGAATAATTCTGCCGCATATTTAATTTCACTGACACTCCAACGGAACGTTAAACTTCAGTATCGGTTTGTCTTTGTGTGTGTGTAAATAAGGGCGTGCACACACAGGCTATATGTGCTAAGACAGAGGAAGTGTGTTTTTTTCACATTGTGTCATTATATGACTAAGCAACCAAGATGACCGAAACATGGAATGAAAAATTACAGCAAATCAGAAAACACTCTTCTTCTTTTTAACGGACGCATGCGAATTTTTGCATAATTTCAACAATATACTGTATGAGTCAACACTCATGTTTCTGATGAACAAACTAAGTGATAATAGTGCGGAAATCAGAAATTCAATTTTGCACTGAAAAGCCAAGATGTTGTCTAATTGTATCTACCTGTCAGTTTTGTTTTATGCTCGCATTTAACTATCTTTTTATTTATTTATTTATTTTTATTATTGACTCCTTCATTGTTTGTTTCTAGTGTAGGGCGACCAACATGTAAAAAATATGTCCAAAATAAAAAAAAGCAGCTCCAAAGTTGAACTGTTACTTTAAGACTCATGGTTTCCTCTCCTAAGTCTTCACTGAGACTATTTTCTCTGCTACAGGTCTTACAGCCTCAGAGCATGAGAGCAGAAAATATCTCACAGGGAAAAAAAACCTGTTGTCTGCTGCCCTCTAGTGACAAAATGACACAAAACGCCAGAGATTTTTTGCTAGGATCATCTAAACACCCGAGAAGTCTATAATAAACATGACAGCTGATAATATCCTCAAGGCACTTCCTCTTCATGCTAGTTGAAAGAGGTACAACACCTAGGCTATATGTGGGAATAATTTACTTTGTTTGCTTTTGTATGAAATTATTGCAGTCCATTTGCAGTAGGCTATATACACTGTTCAGCACTGCACATGTTTATTTGTAAATATTGTTCATATATTCAATTCCCTGTGCTTACATACATTATTTTTCTTATTCTTTCTGAGCTTTGACACTCAATGCTATTCACTTCTATTTCTATTTTAATTATATATTTCCTACATCTAGCCATATATTAGGCCTAGCCTATATCTTCTTTTATTTTTATTTTATATTAATGTCATCAGCTTGTTGACTTTTCTTTAATTGCATTGCCTTTTAACCTTAACCTTATCTTTCTTTTAATTTGTCTTTTTTTTTGGCATTTTCTTTTACCAGTTTTGGAGGCCTTCTCTGTTTGGTTTAACTGTTGATGTGTTTATTTTGATATTTTCCTGAGTTCCTGCCTTTGATTTGTCAGTCAAAGCACTCAAACATGAACATCTGGTTTCAAAGTTGCTATACAAATAAAGTTATTATTATCTTGTTTGTATTTCGGCCTATCTTTGATTCTAAAGTTACTTATTTCGTAAAGTCTTACAGGAAGTATTATTTATTGTGCGTTTCGATTTCAAACTGTTCAGGCTGCTCATTTTAAAATGTTAAGGCAACTTCTTGAAGCTGTTTCCAGAGTACCTATGTTGAATCACACGGGACACATTTTGCAAGCTTGAGTCAATCATCGTAGCTGCATTAACCTATAGGTGGACCAGCCTTTAGTCAAACAGCATTGTTCTGTTTCACTTCAGTGACCTCCTACAGTCAGGTGTTGCGGTTTACGCTCAGTTGTAGTAGCCCTATCCGACATGCTGCAGGCCTGTGTAATAATAACGCTACACTACCAGTGAAGCCAAGGCGAGGCAGCCCATGTGCGGCTGTTGCTGGGAGCCTCGGCCAATCAAAGCCGCAGCGCTCCCATACAAGTACTTTGTGGGCTGGGGAAGCATGACATCATGCATAGCTCCGACCCTCTCTGCGAAATCAGAGTGTAACATCTTATCTCTCTTAACTGCAACAAACAAAACAGTCGACGACAGAGCTGTCTGCACTGTGACAATCTGCGGTCCCATCTATAAAAAAAATAATAAAAAAAACACTGAGAATCACTGACCCGAGTTCCCCCTGTGTGTGTGTGTGTGTGTGCGCGCGTCTCTGTGTGTGAATGCAACGGAGTCTGGGAGGGGCATCTGTCCGTCCGGGCAATGGCGGATGAGGAGGCCACCGTATCTGTGGAGTGGGACAGCGGTGATGGGTGCTTAGCAGATTAGCGTCTCACCTCTGCATTCGTCGTTTCTCTGTTTAGCTTGGTATTCACCTGTCGCCATGGATCCAGAGAAAACGCTGACATTCTGCCTCGGGCTGAAGGCTGAGGAGGTAATACACTAGCTGCATGCTTTTTTCCTTTGATACAAACACTGCTTCCAACAGCTGGGCTTCACTTATTCTGCGGAGCAACATGCTTCCCTCGGCCTGTGTTGTTGTTGTTGTTGTTGTTGTTGACAAAACATTGGCCGCAACTTGCTCTGTACTCATGTGTCATTTCATTCTTCCATCTCGACTCCCATGCATCTTTTGAAATATTTCTGGAGACATTAGGTTCACTTTGACAGCACTGCAGCAAATGTTTTGTGACCTGATAAGTCCATCATGTGTGCTTTCTCTTTGGTTTCAAGTCAGTGAACAAGGCTGTGACTTTGTAGTCATGCAAAACATATGATAAGTTCAAGAGGTGCAGACCTTTAATGCATGACAAAAAGGTCAATATTTTACAGTTGTTTTACAATTGACTGTAGATGACATAATTTACATTTAGAGAGCTTGGTGAAGTTTTTTTTTTATTGGTACTTAGAAAGGTAAATTTGTTTTGCAGGCTGGAGATACTGATAGCTTTGAGATTCTCTGAGAATACCAAAAAATAATTGTGGTGGTATATCATTGATTTCAGTCATAGTATGTGACTTGTTGATTTGTTTTATGAAAGAGAAATTAGATTTTATGTTAATTCATGTTTAACTAAAGTAGCTAGAAAAAGTCTGTGTGTCTGCGCTAAGGATTTGACTGTAATTTATGCTGGTGTGATTACAAGAGCTTTTGCTGCCAGACACTTAAAGCATAATAAATCTAATGTACAGCAGCGTGTCCAACAGAGGAACAGCACACTGCTGAATCAGGACACGACCAGCTCAATACTGAATATTATGTTTCCTTGTTTCCAGTCTGCTGATGTCTGGAAGTAGGGCTTGTACCACTGTATTTATGTGAGGACCAGACAACCACATTGGATTGAATCTAAAAGATTATAAACAAATCAAGGAGACATCTTTAACATCAATTTCTTACATTTGATTCATTTTCAAATAACGAGCTGATACATTTGTCATCCAGGTTCCAGTGTCTTTATTATTCTTGTCTATTTTGGAAAGCTTTAATTTGACAACATTCTTAAAACAAGGGCCTAACCAATATTGTTTTTTTTTTTTGGGTTGCAGATGTCGATTATAGGGAGAGAAAAATCAGATACCGATATATTAGCCGATATTTTTTTAGACGTTACTTCTATCTGTAGAGACAGATGAAGACATACACATTTATTGTGATTATCCCTCAAATGTAGTTATCAAACATTTGTGGAAAAGATATGTTATGAAGACAAGATGGTCACTCTACTGGAAAGTAACTGTGCATGTGCGTGCAGCATGCATCGCCGCTTGAAAGTGATAACGCTTGTTGTAATCCATATGACACACTTTGCTGGTGACAGCCAGAAACAGAGCTGCTAGTGTAGTACAAATGAAATGTTATTCGATTGGTGAATACATCTCGTAAGATCAGCACACATCTGCGTTAACCGATACATATAGTCACTTGATATGCCAATATCGGCTGATACTATCGGCGGGCCGATTAATCGGTCGGGCTCCACTTAAAACTCATGTTTAACTTTAACGGTGTTGTTGTGGTGCTTTAAAGAATCTTGAATGTTGTTTTGCATCGTGCAGCCTCTCTTTGATTTTCCATCCAGTAATTCTTTTTGAGGGCTTTCAGGTTACAGAGAACAACACGCATAGGTGAATGTTCTTACAGGTTTAATGTCATATAATTCTGAGGTGGTGGTGTGTGGCGCTGCTATTGAGAATTGTGAGTCCCCAGGGTGGAAAATCGCTTGTGGTTAGTCAGTGGTTCCTTTGGGGAAGTCTGGATGATCACTTGAGAGTCATATGTGCATACTCAGTGCCGTGTGGTGGGCTTACCACAGGAACTCGACTCTCCTCTTTCTCCAACTGACTCTTGACTTTCATGACAATATAGAAACTAAGAAACCACCTGAGGTTATATGTGACTGTTGGTATGTGCAGCATGATTGATGATGGTGATTTCATATTGTAAAACATCGAGTCAACACATATTAGAAACAAAAATACGGTTTGCAGGGTATTGTATTTTTCTATAATAAATCATAGTAGAGTATATTGCATCTTGAGTCTTCAGGAAACCAGTTGAAATTCTATAAGGGTGTCTCTGACAAACCCAGACAGTCTCAGAACTCAGAGCATGAATACACTCTCTCACGAGAGAGAGAGAGAGAGAGAGAGAGAGAGAGTGTTGGGACCGCAACATTTCTAAATCTGCCTGCTCAGACAGATATTAACTTTTTCTTTGATAAGATAGTTTCTGTTTTGAATTCTTTGTATGTTGGTTCAATATGTTATCAAGCAAAAGCTTTTGCCTCCGAAACTTGACTGTATTTCACAGAGGATGGTAAAAATGGTGTTTAGTATTTGCTGGTACATGTTGTATCAGCACTCAGCCGTAATAGCCCTGCTGGTCATGTCCAGTCAAAAAAAAAAAAAAACGATTCCAAAAAAAGAAAGGCAAAAAGAAGTAAACAAGATCCGCACACCAACTAGAGGAAGAGCAGGGCTGCTCAAAACATCACTTGTCGAAAATATGCTTTAACGCAGACCTTGTTTGCTTCTTTTAACACTTAGTGATGCAACATTTTTAGCAGGAAATGTTTCTGTGTGTCCTCGGTTGGATGTTTCTCTTCCACCGCTCTTGCTCAATAATTGCTCATTTGAACGATATTCTCATAAGTGTTTCTAACTATTAGCCACAGTTGGTATATGTTTGCAGCCTCAGGAGAGCGAATGGAGTTAGCTGTTTTGTTAACTTTTTTTGCTAATGTTGTACTACCTAAATAGACACATGTTGTAATCCTGAGCCTGTTATGCGTGCACTTATGTGAGTACACACACACATACAGTCTGGGGCCAACATTGTTCACCATGCTGACTACATAATCAGAAGCCAGTTGTTAACAAAAGAGGTCTCATTTACATGGCTGCAAGGCCTATGAGCCCCTAGTGTGTCCACATTGTTTTTGACAGTGGGCCCACATCCAGCAGCTGACACACACACACACACACACACACAGGCTTTTTTCCCCCCCACTCACAGTGGGCCTGTATGACACTTACAGAGGCGTGAGTGACACACACCATTTTTAAATCTGCAGTGTAACACAATAGCATTTTAGTTGGGTAAATGCACATATTGCAGATAATATTCAGACACAAATCACCACATGATCATTCACTAATATGCTAGCTCTCATGCGTTTCATATGTATGTGGCTGCTTCAGCGTTACAGTGCTTTGTCTTTTAAAGAAAGTAAATCCATTTTAATGTCTGATTCATTCAATGTTTTGAAAAGCAAAATTTGAATTCTTGGGTTTTCAAATATTTTAATTAGTTTTACATAATTGGAATTGAATATATATATATATATATATATATATATATTTTTTTTTTGAACTGGTGGTCATCTGGACATCTCCCTTGATACTTTTGGAAACATACATGTTGTGCATTATTCTGCATTTTATGAAATAAACAGCAACTCACTCAACCAGAAAACAAATCAACTCTAAAAATACTGAATATAATTTATTGTTTTTAGTAATCACAGTTTTAGAAGTCTACTTTCTTTCTTGCATGTGTACGTCTCAAAGAAGTGGGCAGAGAAAATAAGAGAAAGAAAAGAAGGTTTCAGGAATGTGTCTGGGAATTGGTGCCTTCTGCCTGCTATCACGGCCCACAGGGGAGACACAGGTTTTGTTAAAACACCATTGACCTTCCCATCTCCTTGATGAGCCAGGAGTGTGCTGCAACCAGAGTCTTCAGACTGGAAAAAAAAAAAGAGCCTCTATGGGTCTTTTCTTGACATGCTAGATTACTGGAATGGTATAGAAGTGGAACTTGTTTTTGTGAAGCATGCAGCTTTATGAGGTATAATATTGGAAGACATTTTTTTTTCTTCTTTCTGATGTCTTCATCTCAATCATTGTAACTCTCTGTCTTTCACTAGATGACCATGTCCTTGCAGGGGCTGGATGGGACTGAGGCTGCCACGGTAGGTAGCTCGACCTTCAAACACAACCAAAGATTTCATAACACTGGATAATACAAAGCTTTGTCCCCATGTGTAGAAGAGCCTCCAAGCGTAACCACACTGGTTGCTATGGCAATCCATAATTACTTTTCTAGCAGATCTCCGTCTCGTGTGTGGGTAACTATGTACATAACAGATTTAGAAACCTCTTCTTGTTGAATCATTATTGTGCTTTGTGACTGCCTGTGCTCATCATTTAGACTCTTCACTCCAAGTCCCGATATTTGACAACTTTCTATCATGTTTTGAACATTTGATATGTAATGTCTTTGTTTAGTTCCTCACTTCACCAGTCATCCTTGCACTGACACGCTAATTATTAAGAAGCAGCTGTAACATTCACAGAAGTACTTTCATTTCTTCTTTTAGGTGGCTGTTTCTCAGAAGGAGGCTGACGTGCGCACGGTTAATAAGGTGCGAGATTTCTTTGAAATGTAATTCAACCTGTTACTCCCAGCGCGCACACCGTCACAGCCTTTGATGTGTGCTAATCTTTGTCTGATGTTTACTCTGAAATGTTGTCCCTTGAAGTGAGGAATCCATGGAGAATATTTTCCAAAGGCGGTTTAGTTTTGATTTTACAGTCTCAGGCTCGTGTCACCTGTTGATATGTGCCGCTGGTGGCTTAGTCATCAGACGCTCCAATTAAATCACTGTACACAGCCAAACAGCTGACGGACAAAGTTTGTGACTAGTTGTTGAACGAGGTAGCTCCTTTAACAGCTGAGGGGACAGACACTTATCTGAGGACTTGGTTGACACTACCACAATGTTAAAATACAGTAGGAGTGAAACTCAGACTTACATTTGTATCAGTACTTGAGTTCATTCTGGCAGCTGTTTCAGATTTTGTCTACGTGAGAGAAAAATGATAAATAGAGCCACCGTCAAGAAGGTCTGCTCGATTATGGAAAAAATCCTAATCACTAGATATTGAGATCATGGTTATTAAACACGATTACCCATTGATTTTAACACTCTGAACAAAAACAAGCAATACGTGAAAAGAACTGAGTAAACAATATAAATATACAAAAATAATATTTATAAATACAAGAAAATAAAGTTACTGTGGTTTTCAGGTAGTGATGACGTGGGTCGCCATAATGGTAACTGACATTGAAACTTCATTTATTGCCCAGCCCTTCCTTCAACTCATTTTGTACCCTTTTTATAGTTTTGTCTAATTTAATTAATTCAACAACTCAATTAAAAGTTATTACATTCTCGTGATTACTTTTTCCTTTCAAATGTTTTCCTCTTTAAACTAATTTAATCCGCATAACACAGACATCAGACAGTGGTGTCAAGGCAACAGGATGAATTAGCTGTTTTTCTCAACTCATTAATGCATGAAAAGCAGAAAGCAATAAAATACAACGTTCAATGTTGCTGTAAAATGACTAAGATCACGTTCACAGGTAACATATTACTGCGCTATCAGTAGTTTGTAACAGCATACGGATGACAGTACTGATGTTCTTTGAGTGAAGGGCGTTCACTTGTAGTGGAGTATTTTCACAGTGTGGTTAAAGAACCTTTACTACCGCTTGCTGACATTTGAGCACAGACGAGCAACAACCTATCGAACAGCTTATTAAAACATCTCTTCACCTTATAAGGTTCTAATGTTATGATTCCATACAGACATAACTCCCTTCATTTTAAGTTTGGTAACGCTCTTAAAGCTTGTTAAGATTGTTTTTACATCAGCTCGTGCCCTGCTCGTCGCTCTATTTCTGCCACACCCCTCTCCTCTCTCCTGCTTGTATTGCAACAGATAGATTAGACACACAGTGAGGGAAAAATACCATGGATTTTGTATGTCTGACAGCCCGTCACTAACATTTATTCCAGTTTTTCCTCGTCATCGAAATCTAGACGTAGATGTCGTCACAGTTTTTTTTTAATCACAGATCTATTTTTAGCTCGTTTGTGTCTCGTCTTTGTCATGAAAAAACAGTTGTTTGCTAAAGACGCCGAATGGTAACTTGATAACAGTTTGGTCCTGTTTTTGTTTTGTTTATGGTTTATGTTTTGGGCCGTTTCGCCTTTTATTAGACTGGACAGCTGAAGAGAGTCAGGAAACGTTGGGAGGAGAGAGTGGGGGATGACATGCAGCAAAGGGCCGAGGTCAGATTTGAACCCACGGCCGCTGTGATGAGAAATTATTATAGCTGCCGTACATGGGGCAAGCAACATCACCGCTAGGCCATCCGGCGCCCCTAACAGTTTGATCTTGGCTCAAGTTTAATGTTGAAAAGTTTCCTTACCCATCCCGGCATACTATTTTTACTCACAAGGGCTTTGACAAGCTTTTAATTTTCTTTTACAAATTAATGTTTATTTGACACACCACTATTACCACCTTATTATAAGCATGTTTTAGACAACTGTGTCTTATACCTGTTTTATTTTATCGCTTAACTTTCTGAAAAACGTTTATAACTTATTTATTATTAGCTTATTAATGTATTAGCTGCAAAAACATGTTACAACTTTGCTCTGAATAAAAAAAATAGTTTAGAAATCAAACTATGACTTACAGAGTAGCCTCGGTAGCTGGGAAGCTACTCTACAAAGAATCTTGGGAAAAAAACATAAAAGTGGATTTTTAAATCAAGTGTCTTTTTGACTTACACATTTTTAGGTGTCAATGCTGAAGTCTCACGCTCATAATATAAACACTTATGACCAATAGTCATTCGACCAATATCAATGTTCCTGTGCAGTGGTGATATGTAATGTTGTGTTTTGTCCACTAGGTGGTGAAGCATAACGGTTCTGGTGGTCGGCCAATTGTGAGTCCCAAATACTGTCCTGGGATCAACGACAATCCAGGTTACCTATGTGAGACAGGACACTGCTGCGGAGAGACAGGCTGCTGTACCTACTATTATGAACTCTGGTGTGAGTCACCCGACTGATTTCTTCTCCCTCAAATGGTTATAAAAGTATTTTGTGTTTCCTTGTGATTGGTAATCTGATGCTTTGACTATAGATATATCCCAGCTGAGTACGCAGACAGTTTGGTGTATTTGCACGAAAATCCGATTGGAAAATTCAGAGAGGGATGTCATCTAAATGATTTCAGGTCTCTAATGTCTACAGACAATTCAAAGGTTGAAAGAGTTTCTCAGTCTTCTTCCAAAAGTATCTCACTTCAGGTCAGATTTTAATCTTAGATTTATGGAACATTCCCTTGCATTGTGAGTAATAATAATTTAGACTGTAGTTATTGTATTTGCTGAATTTGTTTCCCAAGCTCAACTCATATTCCATGATTAAGAAAAATAAACACTAGGGGGCAGCAAACAACTAATTAAGGCAGCATGCAACATGGCTATGTAGTTCAATCTGATGGTTACGTGTTTAAAAAAAATCTTTCTGAAGACATCTTTAACTGTATTTTTTGTTGGTTATATTATAGGATATTTACCTCGGAAGAATTCATAAATCTATTATTGAAATGTATCTGCCACACCTTCATCTGTTGTCTACTTTAGTTTAAACCACGTTGTTAATGGGTTGTCTTTGAACATAGTGACAGAAAAACTTTTCAAATGTACGTTCCTGTTGGTATAGTGAATGAATATAAAGCTAGGCTATAATTCACAAACCTTCGTGTAGGCTTTGGAAAAAAAATACAGAAGTAATATGTCCCACAAGAGATTTGTATCTTATGACAAAAGTATCCCAAACTGTCATTGTCTTTGTTTTAAAGCAGGCGTTTCCTCTTTATAAACCCATCTGATAACACTGCAAAGTATTATTATTGTATGTTTTGCTGATAAAGAACCTGAAAGGTCATTGTGGGTAAATGTCCTTGTCTTCTGCAGGGTTCTGGCTGCTGTGGACCGTTCTGATCCTCTTCAGCTGTTTCTGTGCGTACCGACACCGCCGGGCCAAGCTGAGGATCCAGCAGCAGCAGAGGCAGAGGGAGATCAACCTGATTGCCTATAACGGGGCCTGCAGCTACCCTTCCTCAATGCTGGACCTCAGTATGTCTATACATGTCTGTATATATGTTCTCATGAATGCAGGTCCTGAATAAGGCTAAATAGACCTTGAAGTCAGTTTTTTAATCACTGGTCTTCTGAATTACACAAATTTAAATGCCTGTGTTAATTGTTTTATTTGAATCTATCTTCATGTGATCTATTTACAGTAAAAAAAAAATACTAAAAGCAAAACCCCATACATATGTATCATGACTACCTTGCCTCATTAGGACATTATGACACCATGCTGAATATGCTGTGTTGTTTGCTTATGGTTGTTGGGTAAAATTGCACACAGGCTGAACATCTGAATGCAAGATAACATAGCATTTCAATATGAACCAAATGTAACGTTTATGTAATCCAACAACATTAGTTTTATACTATGCTAGGCTACACTGGGTATAGTTGGGTGTGTTTTCTTGAATTGATGCTAAATAAACTACAGTCCTTGTGTTCATTTCAACTATTTGTTCAATTTCTTTTGTTGCAGGTTTTCTGGCTTCCTTCAAGTTGCCCTCCTATGAGGAGGTGGCAGCTCAGCCCACCACCCCTCCTCCGTCTTACAGCTCTGTCTTTGCCCTGCAGGGAGGTGCCATGGGGGGTCCTAACTCCTCTTACCTCCATCACCACCACCGTCAGCCTTGTCCTCCGTACCTTGGCCCTGGAGCTGGACCTGGACCTGGACCTAGTGGCCTGACATCCTCCCAGAGCTCTGACAACTACACCAGTTGCTCCTGCGAGTCGTGCTCCCTCACCTCCCCATCCAGCACATCCTTCTCAGTCCAGGTGACGGATGAAACATATGACAGCAGCCACATATCCACCCCCAGTGAAGCAGGGGGTGACTGTGCTGTCATGCCTAGAGTTGGAGCCAATTTCACATCAACCCCTTCCCCGCCACCTCCATCACAAGTCCCATCTGATGTGATACCTGCAGTCACTCCAGATGTCGTACCTGTACCAAGACGGTCCTCTAATGGAAGCAACGGAGCCTCACTTTCAGCTCCACCGCTCTCTCTTTCATTACACTCTCATCCTCCTCATCACTCTCACCTCCAGCTGTCTCCCCTCATCTTGTTATCTTCCCTCCCTCCAAGTCAAGTCCATTCTTTCATCCTCTCGGACCCACTTGGAGCCGTGGCCGTTCAGAAATTTAAAGGAGAAGAGCCCCCTTCTTTTGGTCCCGCCCCCAGGCCTACTGTCTATCCACCTAAACAGGCTCGCCTGTCCTCCAATGTTCCTGCTTTCACGCGTTCTAACTACAAAGAGGGGCAAAAGCAAGAAAGAGAGGAGGAGGAAGACGAAGACGAAGACGACGAGGAGGATCATTTCCGCCATCGCCGGCTAACAGGTGACTCCGGCATTGAGGTCTGTCGCTGCCACGTGAAGAGAGAGGCGGAAGAGGAGATGCATCAGGGGCTTTCTGGTAAAGGATGGAAAGAGGCTGCGAAAGAAGTGGAGAGGGCAGACGTGCTGCATGACAGCGTGGACTGTTCCCTCCGAGCTGTTCAGTCGCCACTACTGGACGATTGTGCCGATCAGTGCAGCCGGTCTCCTCAACCTCCGGTGTAACCAAGAAAACGGGCGAGGCCTTGGCCACCGTGGAGACATCGTACACCGTCAGCAAGTGAGATGTAGAAGTGGAAAAAAAGTGAGATGTTGACGCTTGATGGCTTCCTTATCGGTCAAGACGAGTAGGTGAAAAGTTGAATCACTGAAGAAAAGTCTTGCAGGTCTCGTTGTGACGGTCACAAACAGAGGGACAGGAAGATTGATGCACTCTCTTTTTTCAGTTTATTCTATCTCGGATCAAGAAAGAGAAGAGAAGAGAGAAGCTGACCTATGAGAGTTCATTTATTGTAGTTTAGGAGAAGGCATATCTTTAGATAAAATGCCAATCCCTCCTTCTCTGCCTCCATTTTTCCACATCGTAAACAAATCAATTTTCAGCTCTGTTTTAAAAGGCCAACATACTGTACCTCTGCCACTCTACACATACCTCTACTTTCATCTCTTTCCCCTGCATGATGCAACATTGCAGAGAGAGGAGCCAGGACCCATCAATGGAGTCACAAAATAAATCAGAGGTGTCCAAATTAGCACTTGTTTTGGCACCTAAAAGACCTAATCAGTCTTAGAAACGAAGATCAATCACAAGTGGAACTGGTCACACAACAGTGGTCTCTTAAAATCTTTTATTTGAAGAGGTCATACAGCAAGAAGATTGGGAACAATTGCCTCATATTTCACATTTCTCCAATAATCCTAGGCAGTTTAATCAGCGACTATAAGAATGAACAAGACTGTTTATTATTTATTGACTTCCTGTAGTCTTTAAAAAAAAATCTTTCTCGTATATTCTGGGAGTATATGAAGTTGATTTCATGAACATTTGATTTTCAAAAGAGCAGCTCTGACATTGGTGTCTGGATCACATAATGTGCCCTTGATTTACTTTCTAACTTTTGAAAAGGTCAATGATTGAACATGTGGTTCAATGACACAAGACTGACCGGGGACTTTCCTTTTGTGTGGTGGGGTGTTTTTTTGTTTGTTTTTTTTTTTGCTTTCACCAGCTTTATCACTCTGTTAATCAGAGGGAAATGAAGAAGGCAACTATTACAGCTGATTAAAGAAGTGCGTGTTTTATACATTGTGTCTTATGTTGCTCCCTAAAGAAGGGTGCATACGTTGATTTGAAAGAGTGTTGGTGGCAAAGCTTTACAATGGTTTGTTGTTTCAGACTGTTACATGATTATACTGTTTAATTGACTGACTGTTTGACTTTGGATTTAACGTGTTTTTAACATGTTCCTGGTCGTCCGTTGCCATTTTTTGTAAGGCAATGTAAATCTGATTCCTCCATTGGACAGACTGTTGAGTTTGTTTTCTTAACAGGCAGAAACGTTAAGCCTAATCTCATCTAGATAATGAATGTAAAAGGTTATGCATCGCAGCAAACACCTATATATATATATATATACTTCAATGTTTACGGAGAACTGTTATAGCATGTTGCTTTAAGAAAAGAAAAGAAAAAACTCTGGAAAAGTGTTGTAGACTGCAGCAGGGCTTTACAATCTGCCATGTGTGGGATTTGAGCAGACACTTTCAAGTGAAGTGCCCATTGTAATATGTGAGTCCAGTGATTCTCGTGAAACATCATAGTGAAGATGTACCATGTAGGGGTTTGAGTCACAGTTAGAATAATGCCTCTTTTATTATTATCACTGTGGCTATACATTTTTTTTCACTTTAGAGACTCACGTTTTTTAAAATGTGTCCTGATTGGTCCGTTATTGTACGTCAAACGGTTTTGTCCATTGTTGTGTAGTTGTTCAGTGTCTGTCATTAGAGAGTAGCCTCTGTCTGTCAGTAGGGGGGGGGGGGGGGGGGTTGATACCCTTGATTGATGTTCTGTACATCCTTTGATTAGATCAAGGTAGTCGATCTCGGGTTTTAGGATTAGACAGTACATGTCTGCTACTCCCACTGCTGAGTACAAAATGTGCTGAAGCTTAAAGCAACATTAAGGAAGAGAGAATGTCTCAGATCCCATTTTGTACACGTTTGTCTTGCTGTAGTTATTAATATACGTCCAGTGTCTCTGCAGAGGGCCACGTTTGGGATGTCCTCTGCTCTGTGTAAAACTAGCTTCATCGTCAAGTGCATGAAAGGGAAAGCTTTTAACTCGTGTGTGGTTCTGTGGGCAGAAAACCTGACCTCAGTTTAGCTCAGTACCACCTTTATTTGTCAGGAAAAAGAAATAGGCCTGTTTGAACGTACTTTTAATAGGGTGTGTGAGCAGGTTTGTGTTGCAGTTTTGTCAGGAAGGTTATCTTGGAAACTCTTTTCAAAGCTATGTTGCTGTGATTCACGGGTGTGTCTCAGAGGTGACATAGACTGTGCATCCTCTGAAAAATAATAGAAAAGCCTTTTGGCTAGTTTAAAAAAAAAATGGTTTTAGGATGAAGAGCTGTTTTCTTATTAGTTTGAGCTTACACAATATGATCCAAGTATATGGTGCCTAGATGAATTTAGATTTTTTTTTTTGGTAATGTATTCTATAGTTCACTGCTGCTATGTGAAAGAGAGAGCGTGTGTGTTATCTGTAAATTGTGTATATTTGTACATCAAATGGTCAAACATTTTCTAGCAGTGCTTAGCAGTGTCTTTATGAAACATACACAGCACATAGTTCATGTGATCTTTGCAAAACTAGTATTTAGCAATAGTATTCACACTTTTTCCTTACTCTGGTTGATGCTGGTTGGTAGGAAATTAGCTGTTGTGAAGAAGACAAAAAAGAAGACATTTACCTCTTTATATCTGATCCGTGGGCTGTGCTGGGCAGAGGCCCGTGATTGTACATAAAACTGCATTTTAAAAGCCTTTGGTTCAAGGTTTTCCAAGTGCACACTTTGATTATGTGGTTCCATTTATAGCCCCAGTCTGTGCCTCCTTATTTATTACTATTACATTAAAAACTGTAATTCTATAAAAATAGATACCCTGACAATCCCCAATCCTCTGATTTCTCAAAAAAACTTTTGTCCATTTTAATTAATTTAAAAAAAATAGCACTGTTGCACGATATCAAATATTTTAAAGCTATTTCCAATGTTGTGACTGTTTCCTGCAACAACCATAGACGACGGCAAGATTTAGAAAACATAATTATTTAGTTTGATTCCTGATTTCATAAAATACATGTTTTTCCCCCCAGATATACGTATGCGTTTCTGTGGGTCTCACCTCTTAAAGTTAAAATTGTCCTTCTTTATGACAATTTGAACTTGTGTTTGAAAATTTGGATGCACCTGTTAACTCTTGTCTCCAAATGATTTTTTGTGTCTCTTTAAAGTGGGACTTTAGCTCTATTCCCTTTACATATAAATCTAAACTTTCTTTTCTTGTGCTTAATTGAAAAATTGAAACGATTGTGCTTAGAAACTTTACTCCAAACTAAGGAGGTCATGAAACGCCTTTCCCGCCCCCTGCTGAAAACCTAATGTAAGTTTATCTTGGTGGATAAAAGTAGATTTTTTTTTTAAACATTGTCAGATGTTTTTTTGTCTTACAAGAACTAATGTTGAGCTCCTGAGCTGGACTGTTATGGTAATACGGCACAAACGGAGGCTATTTTGATTCCCACTCTGATGTAACATCGGAACCAACTGATCTGAGTTGAGTGTATTCATAACTAGTTTGACTTTATTTTGCCTTGTCAGCAGCTTGTATGTATACGGACAAATTGCCCAACCCCTCCCTCATTGCCACAGAAGGCCAATGCCTGTTACAAGACTGTTACCTCGCAGAGTTTTGACTGTAAAAAGGACTGTTTACTTCTGCTTATCAAGAAAGTATTTACTCTATATTTGTACTGACTTTATTTTGTAATGCCAAGTATTGAGGGATTGAAAACCAACACAGAGCCCACACTAGGAACGGCTAAACTCGTTTGCCAGGAATATGAAATCCTGTTGATTCAGGATTACTGAAGACTGCTTGTCTCCCGAGAAACAAAGTGTTCTCCTTTTCCTCCTGCAGCTATGAGACGGCAGGATTTATACAAGTATCTATATGTCATTCTTAGTGGAATAGTTCAGATTAATATTACTACACAGTGCGGTGTTCTTTTAGGGTATCCGTGTGCATTTCTACCTGCAGCTCTTACTGTGTCGTATGCATGTGTGAGAGGGTTGCTGTCAGCTGTGTTGTTGTGATGTCCAATCATTGTTGCTTATTATCAGGCCAAAGTTGATCGTAGTTGTTAACATGATATTTGTCGATATGAATATCCAAACATTTTTATGTCATCATGAATATCAAGTTGATTTGTATCTAGGTGTACTGAAGAAAAATCTGATGTTAAATCCAAAAATGAGATGCTCTCACACTTTTGAATATTTTGTTTTGGTTGCTCATATCCTGGTGCTTTTTTTTTTTTTTTTTTTTCTAGATAAGTGAATTTGTATTTTTAGGTTGCATTCAATTTTTTTAGGCTCATTTGTATTGAAATATGTTGGACACAAACATGTGTGCTACTTTATTTGACAGAAACTGTGGATTTTGTGTCAAAATAAAGTATAAAAAAAAATGACACTAAATACTTGTATGCGTTTTTAAACACACACTCACACTTTGTTTTGTAGTCTCCTGCAAAAGTGATGAAAAATGTTGTGCAGCAATTTAGGCAGAGATGAGCCAAACACCCACACGAGTAGCTGTCCCTGTGACTCAGGATGAATCACCAGGCACTCTGAAAGCTTCGACTTTTGTTAAAACTGTGATCATGTTACTGACAGCAGATATGACGAACACAACGGACAGCAGACCTTGTTTGTACTTTTTTTTAAAAAAAGGGACACATTTGAAAAGACTCAAGTGCTACGTTTTTAGTCTTACATTTTATGTCTTGCAGAGGATCCCTGTGTGAAATAGTTAGCCCTGAATTTGTCTTCTTTTTAATGTCCTTGAGCCCAAAATTGAGAGAAACAAGGCAGTATATATAAGCTGCTCTAATTTTGCAGATTGTGGAAGAAAGACAAGTTTAACCATCCTTCCATCCAAGCATGTTGTGTTAGTCTGTCAACCACATGGTGATAAGGCAATACAATAGGAACTATTAGCTAATGGGGATACAAATACAATGCAAAATACAAATCAACCCATAACATAGTGTTGAAAACTGTCCTAACATTATATTGTATTTTTTTCCAAGCAGCGTGTTTTCAGCTCCATCTGGTGGTGTGACTTTGGATGGCATAAATAGAAAAAATAGAGCCGTTTGCACTGTAAAGGTTTGGTTTCTCAACCAGTGGGCTATACCAAGGCCTCCCTTAATATAGCAAATAACCATGCAGACAGACAGTATGGAGCTGACAGGAAAGGAGACAAAAAGATTGGGAATGAGATCCAACAACCAAAAAGCTCCTTAAGAACATCTCAAATCTAATGAAACAAAACATAAGTATTGCATCATAAAAAAAAAAAATACATAGTTGTACTGAAAGAGAGCAGAATCAAACAGAGTAGACAGGACTGGTGCTATACAGCAGTCACGTGTTCTCCTCTAAAATATAATAATGTTTGGGGTCTTAACAGAACTTTAAATAGGCTAGAAAATTGGCATTCTTTATTTACAAATCCAAAATACAACATTTAGATCGGAACTAAAATAAAATAAAATAAATGCATGTCCAATCTCATCATCAAATACCATCAAAATGTATCATAAATGGGATTAAAGTTACAATTAATAATGTGTTAAGTTAAATAAACACTGAGCCGAATATTCATGAATTCAAAACCCTGACCTGACATTTAATACATTCAAAAAAAAACATTTCCCAAGGAACTGAGGCTGTCTTGTACATCCCCCTAAAAAATAGTTTACAGCAAATTCTATCCAAATACCAATTCTGTACATTTAAGCCGAGCACTTTGTTTTCTGCGCTGTGATTGGTCGGCGCACCAGTACCCACCCCCCTCTCCCGACCAATCTCCGTCCGCGTTTCCCCCACGTGACAGCGCTTGTGCTCGATCTCGCAAAGTTAAAAACAGTTTGTTTAGCTTGCAAGGCTGTTTGTCTGCAATGCTCTCCGACTAGTAAAGCTGCTTTTCTCTTCCTACCCTTTCACATCTCCTCCAGTGTAACTCTCACCGGCCGTGAAACGCTGAGAGTTGTTTACATCATTTTTGCATTTCACTGCAAACCTCGCGGAAGCCTTTTTTTCTGCTCTCTTTGTATCTGGAGATTTTTTTTAATTTTTTTTTGCATTTGTATCAGTAGATAGCTGACACCGTGCATCACGAACAAAGGCTCAGGGCTTTGTGTTCTTCTACCGAGTGTCAAACTCCAAATATCTTATCCTGCAAACGAGGTTTTAGTTGCAGTGTTCAGAGAGAGGGGGGGTGTTTTGTTTGCAGCTGGAGCTTGCTCGACAGGAGGAGGAGAGCGCACACACACACTCTCTCACACACACACACACACCGTGAGGGTTTTTTTTTTTAAATCGAGCATTTGGTGTGCGCCATGGCGACCGAAGTGGGTTCGTGGTCCACCGCTCCTCAAGCCGACGGTGAGTTATTCAATTCATCAAATACAACAAAAATACATCCGTGCAAATGAGCTACACATGGAGGCCTGTTGGCGTGCTCTCCCGGATCCATTGTCCCCCTGCATGGGATGGGCTGCAGTGAGCACTAGCCACGCTCCACCATGTGCTCCATTAAAACCTTATACACACACACTCACACACACACACTGAGCTCTGGTAGGCTACTATAATCCCTGCACGTATGAGTGTAGCTACGCAAGTAATACGCTGCAAAAAAAAAACCCCAATCAAGATCAATTACAGTTCTTATATTTTCTACAGGATTTTGCTATGGTGTTGTTTGTTTTTTCCACTTGCGCTTACGTTTAACCCTTTCGCGTTTCTGATTGGAGGAGGACACAATGCTCACTTCCGCTTTGACAGGTCGGTTGTTTTTTTACATGCATTGCAAACAATTGTGCGAGCGCATTTTCCAACACGAAAGACACGTATTTTCTCGTCATTGCTTGGGGTAAACGCATGTGTTGTCAATATTAAATCGTGCATCGTGACTTAGCTGAGCTCTTTTGGTTCCTTTATTTTATTTTATTTTTTAGTATGTTATGATTTTGGGTCCTCAGTCACTTCCTTTAGATGTCAACACGTTTTCCTTTCTCGGCCTACTTGACTGTGTCACTGTTATCTATACGTATTTTTTTTGCGGTTATTTGACAAGGATGCATTGCCGAGGATTGCACACGGGGTTCGGCTCAGTCACGTACAGTGTGCAGTGATTTTGATTTTGAGCTTATGGCACACTGAGTTCCGTGCTTTCCTCTCACAGCCAGGCGATGACGTCGACATGTATAGCCCCGATATAGCAGCCAATGGGAGCGCCTTACATAATCTTGCACACTGCCCGTGTATTTAAAGGTTACATAAGTAGCATGAATGTATTGTTTGCACTGACACCAGTTGTAGATCTCACTTGTTTCTGTGTGTTAACATGTTACAGGCAAAAGGTGCATCTAATGGGTATGATACTGCTGCCGTGGTGTTTCAGAGCACAGATGGGCTTTTCTGCATGAACTCTGCACGCCCCTTATTTCTCAAGAAAGGTCAGCCACGCTTGGTTGACCAGCACTCTGTTGTTGAGGTGGACACACACTCAATGCAACAGACTGTCAAAGACTCCTTTGTTTGTTTTTTTGGGTGGTGGTGGTGGTGGAGGGGGGCAACTCCTCCATATGATGCAGGTCAGTCTGGGCACTGAACTCTCACACACAGCAGTACGGGAAATATATAAAGCTGGCTTGTTGTGTTGCGCACAACAAGTCTTACCAAAGATCCTCAAAGTGAAAAGTTATTCTCGCTTTAAAGTACTTCCTCTTTTTTGGCCAAGTACCCATCTATAACCCAGAATCTAGCAGCTATGTAACCATCACTCACCTCTTAAAAAAAGTAGATTTAAATTAAGGAATATGTGTTAAAAGGAAGTTAACCATTGTTTTAGCGTGAGCGTTCTGCGTCATGTTAAGTGGAGTTCCACAGTATTAACCTCCTTACCTGCAAGCTTGTTTTTTTGCTACTTTCATGCCGCTTCCTTTTTAATCCGCAGACATTTCTTTCAAAAGCGGTGCACATCATGATTCACAGTCTGCTGGCTATGCCACACAGGGAGCCATTTGGGCTTCAGTGGATACTTTAATAATATGCGACTGTAGGAATTGAAGATTGAACTGACTATCTTGTGGTTGAAAGACACTGAGCCACTGTCACACTCTACGTCCGTAGTCCCTCCATACAGTAGATTGTGCAAAGAGTGCACAGGCTGTTTATTTAGACTCTCTTTCTCCATTAGAAGTATTGTCCTTAAATATAAGAACCCAAAGAAGATACATTTTAAAGGCTTTTATTTCATAAATGATGCACTTTAGGAATTGGCTCTTAAAAAATTAAACATGATTCCTTATGTGACGCCAAACTGAGTTAACATGAAAACATGTTTAACCTTGATCGACCTGAGGTGTGTGTCTGTTTCTGGATTGACACAGGGCAGGTCTGTGATGGCATGAATGTCCTAAGTGCAGATTTATAGCCCCATCTAACTTTCCTCCTTTGATAAATACACAGAAGAAATTCCCCAGTGCCTGAAATGTCGAGCCAGATCTGTTTGTGGCCGTCTGAGTACACATTATGTTATGCTGCTGCTCCTTCTTTTGTTAACCCCGTCCCTGCATACATTCATGAACCATGTTTGCATACACCATTCTTTTGTGTTAAAACAAACACAAAACAAAAATACGGTAGTTTAATACATTGGACATGATTGACTAATTATCAGAAAAAACTTTACCAGACTCTTGACTGTTTATCTGAGTCGCTTTTATCTCTTGTGTCATCTTTTATCTGTGTTGTTGCTCTGCAGCCGTCGCAGAAAGCCCAGTCAGCAGAAGTATGTTCATCTCTTTCTGCATTCAGAAAACAAGACTCCAAACACACTTTCAGATGTGGCAACCTTTGTGCTTAATTTGTGGAGTGTGTGTGTGTGTGTGGCCTGCTTCAGTTTGATCGTAGGTTTATGCTGTGTGTCTGAAATGTGTTTTTAAGTCAAAGTCTGCCTCCTTTCATTAACTGTAATGACAGTTAAACCTCCAGGACATCCACACCCTCCTCTCTTTTGATAGATTACCACCACACAGCCTCGTGCCGCAGGACTTGTCCCCCCCTCTATCATTGTACAGACACAAGTTTGATGATCGGGGGCATTGCAACTTGTGGGTTCATGAAGATGTTGTTACCTTCGACTACCCCTACGTACCAACTTGCGTTTAATACTGATGTCATCAAAAGTTAATATAGTGTATGATGCTGTCAAATTAGGTTTTATTTATTTTTTTACGCAGTTTTTAAACTGTGGGGACTCTAAACTTTGTTTAATTTCACAAAGTGTTGACTGATAAGTAATGCAAAATGCATAAATACAAATCGGTGTCATCTGCATAACATTTGTTTCTGTTATTTTAAAAGTCCTGTGCTCATTTTTTTCAGACATTTGAAGGTATCTTATAAGACATATAATAAGATAATATATATATATATATATTGTGTAAAATGATTTTCAACAACGAAAAAAAATCTTGATATAATTATTATTACATCTATTCCTTCTATATTGAAAGAATCCAGTTTTGATCACGTCCCAAATCAAGCATTAGACAATAGGGCCCCCTCATAGTCTCACTTACTTTTTACATTTGCTGTTGTGAAAACTATGGCTGTCCCCTGGGAGTAATATGAGAACTGTGCTCCACTGACCTCCCTCTCATTCATAAACACTGCTACTGTCCAGGCACCTACAACTGAACGCCTCAGCAGGGCTGCTCGGCCTCTCCGACTGTGGAAAGCTCCCACACAACATGTAGGCCAGAGGTCTCTGCGTCCCACTGTATGATTAAAAAAAAAAATCAGTGAAGGAGCTATTTAAAAAAAAAAAAAAAATCATTGAGACTGTGCTGAGTTTGTTTCTGCAGCAGCTTTATGGGATTGTGACAGTGACACACATTCTGTAGAGTAAACTTTTAAAAGAAATCCTTTTTAGCAGCTGCGTTTCAGCCATACTTGATCTCTGCTTGTTTTGCAACTCTTGACTTGGCAAACGGCAGTAACTTTCTGTCTTTCCATTTTTCTGCTCCTCTCCAATTGGACGGTGTTGTATTTGGCACGTTACCATTGGTTAGTTCCTTATTTACTGCGCTGGCAGGCCCTGTGGCCTACATGAAGGAAGGAGGGGGTGGGGGGGGGAACAGAAAGAGGAGCAGATGACACATGGTCGGCTGTTTACAGTTTTTGAAGGCTAAGGGTGTGGTGCTGCACTTTATGCAACAGGTTATATCAGGGAGGTGTCCTGCTTTGCTTGAAGGTGCTGCCCTGTCATCTGTTGTTCACTTGCCTGGCCTAAATGAAGTCACAAGTTAAACAGCAAACATTTGCAATTCCTGGGATTCTCTTACACCTTTTTGTGTACCTCTAATTTTACCTGCAGCATAAGTTTTATGTGTGACTTCTACTGCACACAGACTACTGCTGCTGCTAGTTACTTTGGTCGGTGGCTTGGACGTACTCCACTCCCCTCCCTCTTGAGTGTTTTTGTCCACATGTCCTGTAATCTATAGGACCAGAACTCCTCAAATTGCCATTTCAGGCTCATGCATAAGGACTCCAAGTATCCATTACACCCTCAGACATTCTTCCTCCTCCTCCTCCTCCTGCTTTCTCTCTCTCCCTTTCCTGCAGCTCTGTCATGTGACCGTTCCTAGACCAAACCGGGCCATATGTAGTCAGGGCCACTCTAGCTGCTGCTGTGGACAAATCGCGAGAAGACAGAAAAATAAAAAAAAACTGGTGTCAGCATTTCTGCGCCATGTGTTCCTCCCTCCCTCCCTCCCTCCCTCCCTCCCTCCGTGTCATGCCTGCAGGAGCGCTCGAGTCCCACTTGTTGTTGTCTCTGGAAGAAGCAAACTAGACAGTGTGTTTTTTTAAATAAACGGTTTTCTATACACTCAGGGAAGTAGTATTAAAAAGTGGATCGATCCACCTTATGGCTGCTGATAGAGCCGGTGAGTGTTACATCAAAGCATGTGGGCATTTGCACTGCTATCTTTTTGTGTTATGCTTTAAAATGTGCAAAACATGGCCATGACAAATGGAGACGGATGCAGCACATGCAGTCCTGTGGTGACTTTGTGTGTTTCTTTAGGGTGAAGGTGCTCATAGAACTTGTTGAATGCAGCCCAGATGGATGTCTTAAGTTTGCTGTGCAGATACTTCCAAGTCAAACCATATGAGCAAGATATCTATGAATATGCAATTTCTCACACATGGACATGAGCAGTTTGGTTCATCCGAAATCCTTCATGTACATTAACAGTAATATGCAGATTTCTTTTATTTTATATTTTTTTAACTGCAGTTTAAAAAAAAAATAAAAATAGTTTCACCGGTTGAAGCAAATGATATACTCTTGAAGTCTAGATAGAGGCATTTTGCTGGGTTTAAGTTGTCATGAGATTTCTCTCTGGGAGATGTCAGTAAGTCACCTTAAAGGGACTTTATTCTGCCACATTTTATGTCGATTGTAAATGTGTTGCTTAAATCATTAATTCCTCATTGTGGGTTTGTATTGACTGAGAAAGCGGAGTTCTCCTGCTACAAGAGACGTGTCAGGAGTGCCTACATGTACCAGGATGCATTGCCCCTTAGCCGCCACAGTCTTGGCATTGGTCGACTTTATATCTTTGGTCATATACTTAATAAATTAAATTGATAAATTACTTCATCTTAAGATCTGAGTCATGCAAAAAAAAAAAAAACAACAACTCAACAATGTTTCCTTATCATAACATCCTCTGTACCCATATTTCAGAATGCCAATCTCCCTTTTGGTTAAATTGCTTGTTTGCTTTAGAGGCATGGATGAGCTGAAACGACCGTTAGTTCTTCACCAACTACATCACTTTACTCTTTCTGGGATCAGAGACACGATAACCTTCAGAACTTTTTCACACCAAATACCTAAAATCTATGAATCCTCTACCCTAATTCTTCAGAGTTATGACTATATACGGAATAGAAGAAACGACACTTGCTTTGTAACAATGAGGGATTGCTCTACAAATAAGAGCCCCAATTAAACTTGGGCCATTCAATGTACTTGACTTTTTAAATGTTTCCAGTTACTTGCACATGTTTTTAAGGATTTTTCACAGTATTCTTCTTCATCTTCTGTTCTGCTTTTTCTGCACACAGGGATGTTTTCTCACGATGAGAACCTGGCAGACGCTAACCGCTCCTACAGTGGCGACGAGGCAGAGGTGAACGGCAACTGGACGCCTCAGGAGAAAGCGCTCCACGAGGCGCGACTCAAAGCAAAAGCAAAGCGCCGCCTGCGCAAGTCATCGTCCCGCAACTCCACCAGCGAGTCGCTCTCCGAGTCAGGAGACGTGGCGGGGGGCGACCCGAACAGTCCGAAGGGCAAAGTCAACACCAACGACCGCAAGTCCAGGACGGGCAAAGGTCGAGGCCTGCCAAAGAAAGGTACATCTGAGATAAAGTGTTGCATGCAGAATTCTGCTGTTTTGTTTTCTAAGAAGCTGCCACAAAGTTTTTTTTTTTTTACAGAAGGGGAGCAGCTACAGATGCTGTTCTCAGAAAAAGGCATTTTCTTTAGTCTGAGAAAGTTTAGCTTCCTAGTGGAGCACTAAAAGAACTGGCTTCCTTCTCTCTTGATGACCAGTAAATACCAATAAACTAACTTACTGGGTTTTGTTAAACAGTACAACACGTTATCAAGTAGGCCAACATTTTGAAAAGGAAATACAAGGTAGCAGTGGAAGCCTTGGTTAGCATTTTCAAGGATGAAAATCTTTGAGAGTTCCTCGTGTCCCCTATTTGTGGCTGCTCTTCATCAGCTGCATCAAATGAGTTTCAAAGTTGAAAGTCTAAACACGCGTCTTGCATGTCGGCCTTCTGTGTGTTTGTCTGCAGGTGGAGCGGGCGGTAAAGGAGTTTGGGGGGCTGCTGGGATGGTTTATGAAGACGAGGAGCCTGACATGCGGGACCCTAACTATGATGAATCTTCTCAGGTGAGTGGACTTTTCTCTCTTTGAATTTAGACCGCTCACAGATCCATTTTTTTTTTTTTTTTTTTTTTTTGTGATCATTTCTTTATTATTTACATTTAAACATTGTCACTTACAATAAAGAAAAAACAAGATGTTGTGGTTTCGTCAGCAGCCCACAAATGTACAGGAGATCTATTTTCATATTTTTTCTTGATGGGTCTGGACTGAACGCCCAACAAAAGCCGGACACCTCCTGGTTCTGTTTTTCTTTGAAGGAATGTCTCGCACACTGTGGACACAGGGTGACATGGGAAGAGCATAGTGGTTACAACGAGAGAACATGCAGCATTTGATGTTTCAAATGTTCAATTACAATATCTCAACGATTAAAATATATTTCACCTGAAATGAAAAAAAAATGTTATGTAATAGTGAAACGGTTTTCTGTCAGGCAGTCTGAGAAATGTTTGGACATTTGGACAATCAAAGTTTGGCTGCTACAAACAAGTTTGGACATTCTTAATGAAGAAGTTTATTGATACGAAAATGGGGAATTCACAGTTGTGCGCCAAGGTGATGTCTTTGAACCCATAGTTCCAAACTCAAACTTGTTTGGCATTTGAACCCGAAAGAAAAATACAGAGTTGAACTGTCTAATTAACTGTTTCGTTGGCAGGGAACAACACTTTTTCTTTCTTTCTCATCACATTTCATTTGTAACTTTTTTGTTTTAGGAAACTGTTTTGGGTTTTTTTATTACATAATGCCTTTTATTCAACAGTGAAGAAAGAGGAGTGACAGTGTATGTGGATTAGAGAGAAGGAATGTTTTCCAGCAGAGGCCCATCCGTGTAAAATAACCTGAGTATCAGCAGTCCGGCCGCTCGCTCTTATCCAACCTGTTTTTGAGCACGTCTGAAAAAGCCTGTCCAGCTGAAGGTAGTGTACCACGGTTGTTTTCAGCCGGACCTGTTGTGTGGAGCAGCTTTTTGTTCCAAAGAGGCCCACTGATTAAAGCTGTGGCGTACTGCACGACTCCTTTTATTACTCGTGTCAAACAAACATGCTGATGTTGAAGGGCTGCAGCTAAAAGCAGTGTGTATATAAAAAAAAAAAACAGTCTGCCTCTGCTCTCTGAACAAGATGATCACTGTCCATTCTCAGACAACAAGCGCACACGCTCAATGATTAGTTAAATCTCCATTGGTACACATTCAAAGTATCGTTCCTTTGACATTCACTGGACAATGAAACCATTTGGAAATGTTCTATTAAAGTCCACATGATTTGGCCTGAGCTTGTATAAAACACGCCTCCTCACATGATTAGTTTGATCCAGGTGGCTCTGTCCCATCATAATCAACAGTATTTTTTAATCTTTAACTCGCTTATCAAGCAGAGGCTCTGTGCAATGCCAATGTTTTTCTGTCCCCCCCAATTATGATTCATGCTGACTGAATTGTAGAGTGGGAACGGAGCTTCTGTCAGCCAGAGGCCCGACAATGGCCGAGACGGGCTGCTGGGATTCGGCCTTGAATGTTGTGGAAAGATGTCAGTGTGTTAACAGGGAACTGGGTCAGAGTGGTACAGGAAAACACACGGGGCATGTGCAGACGCTGACCTTCAAATCGTGATCCTGATAACGGATTTCGAAATGGCCCAGGTCATCGTGTTCCTAAGTAAAGACGAAATGTTGGCATAACTTCAGAGGCTCTGTATCGAAAACTATAATATGCCTGCCTTACTGCCCCCCCTTTACAAAATGAGTGGCTTGAGTATGATTGCACTCCATGGAAGAGCTAAGAAAAAAAAGTGAAGACATTTTGCAGAGATTTTGAACACTGCTCCATTCTTGTGCCTGTTCTTGGCAGTAAATGATTGTTTTGGTTCTCTTCCATCAGCCCATAAAGTCAACAATCACTTCATACAACATGAGGGGTAAACAGGAAAGTGAATCAGCCTTTTGGACTGGTGGCTACACTCCTCCTTCCCTATGCTCCTATTTGTTTTCCTCTTTGGTTTATCAAAAGACTTCAAGACAACTAATACTTATTTTAATTGCACAAAAGTTGCCCAAGTTTTCCCCTCTATAAAAGCCAAAGTAATCTTCTCTCCATTCTTTTAGAGTTTGTGCAGTTTGAAGATGTAGAACTTGTTAAATCAGTGCGCTTGGAGGATTGACCGTTTGTGAAAACGTCCTATTGTTCTCCAGGTCGAACGAAAAACCTCACCTGAAAGTTAGCTGGACCGGTTCTGACCGACATTCTTGGCGTTCACTGATGTACGCCTTGAAAGGAAAGAGTGAAGAAAAAGTGGCTGTTGAAACAGAGACCGATAAACAAAACACTTTCAAAAACAGCTCAGTGAAAATGATCTCAAATGATAAGGCCATGTTGCAACTTCATTCTTCTTTTAACTGATGTGTTGTTGTGTTGTTGTTTTTTTTTGTTGCTCAGGGTGACACAGTCTATGCAACAGTTGTTCCTGAGGTAGATGAGAAGGAACTAGGAAAAATGGTCAACCCAATCGTGAAGGAGTACTTTGAACATGGAGACACAAAAGAGGTCCAGGTAAACAAAGTGTTTCTTCTTCACAGACTGCCAATGATTACACTGATGGCTGAGTGAACCCTTTTAATAGAGTGCTTGAATGTGTTTGCCCTTGTGCAGTGTTGTTCACTGATTGAGTCCTAACTAAGTTTGCATATTCTTGCTTGTTCCCTCCCGTCCGGTCAGATGTTGCTGAAGGAGCTGAACCTTGGCCCACATAAGTACGAGTTCTCCTCCCTGGCCGTGTCTCTCTCCCTGGAGGGGAAGGCGAGCCACAGAGAGCTGACCTCCCGCCTGCTCTCTGATCTGACCGGCAAGGTGCTGTCACAAAACGACATGTCCCGAGCCTTCGACAAGATCCTCAAAGAGCTGCCAGACCTCATACTGGACACACCAGAGGCCCCCCAGGTACACGTGAAAATGGCCGTCAGAGCAACACGTCTGTTGATGGCAATTTTATGTTCTGTGCATAAGATCGATGCTGTAATAAAATGCTCATGGAATTTCCTGAAAAAAATGCCACTAAGAAATATTTCTGGATATTTGGATTAATGGATTGTGTAGACTTTGCTCTATATTAACGTTTTGTCATATGGCTGCAATTTAAAAAAAAAAGAGATGTAGGGATGAATTGATGGTGAAAGATTTTTCCTTTTCATATTTTCTCAGATGTTGGGCCAGTTTATAGCAAGAGCCATAGCTGACCACATCCTCCCCATGTCTTTCCTGGACTGTTATAAGGGCAAAGTGGTCTGTGAGCACGCCAGGTGAGCTTATATTAGCAAAATAATCAGTGTCTCTATTTCAATTTTTATTCATATTAAACATTTTCACATAAAAGAATCCATTAATTTGGAAGGCTCCAGTGTGGAGTTTAAATCTAGTTATGAAACAGACGGAGATGAATACTGATGCCTCCATATGACTGACAAAGTGCAGTACATGTACAGGACAAAATCAACAATGAGACATGTGTTATTGCATTGGCCACAGGGGGGCGCCAAAATCAACGCAAATGGAGAGTTTCTCACAGGAGCTTTAAATATGTGAGCTGTGATATTTTTTAAGTCTCTTTAGGGTGAATCTATTTGGTTGATTCTGGAGCTCCCTTTTTTTTTTCCTCCCGTGTCCCGCCTCAAATGGCCCATCTCCTCTGGGATTATTCAGACACATTTAAAGAAAAAAACATTTCCTAAAGTCGTCACACCGACGCAGAATGAATCAAATGCAAAGATGAAGTTAACGATTCAACACCAAAACAATGACTGTATAGCTCAATAAATAGTCTGCATCCCCTTTCCCCCTCCCCCTTAGAGTCGCTTTGGACCGTGCTGTAGTGCTTCTGACCATGAAGAGAGAGATGGTCCGTCTGGATAACGTGTGGGGTGTTGGCGGGGGCCTGAGACCTGTCAAACATCTCGTCAAAGAGGTGAGCTCGGGGGGGGGGCCACACAGGAAGAACACAGCACTGTTTAAAAGCTGACGTCACCTGCTCATTTCCATTTGTCCCAAACGCCCTGGGTCACGCTCTTTTTGTATCGAACAAAACCCTGCATCTTTATAATTTGAGCAGAAGGCAGGAATGCATGCTGGGTGAGAGAGCCACAGGGCCAGCCCTCTGCTATGCTGCTGTGTCAGCAGAATACTTTTCTCCCGTGAGAATGGAGATCTGCAAAAAACTAGGGCACAGCAGGGACAGGCTCGGATACACAACCTCGTCTTTAACTAAAACACACACACAAACACACCTTCCCTGTTCATTACACCTTATGTGCTCATGCTTTATGTTTGTTCAGAAGTATTGCCCCATGATCTGGATTTTCTGGAATTTTTTCATGCTTGTGTGGGTGTGGACTGTGGGTGTATAAAATGTGCATCTTTTTAAATTGTGCGTTATGCAACTTTTCGACAGTTTGGAGAGTTTCTTGTTGCATGTGTAGAAATGAGAGTGGTCAGTGAGCGTGTTCTCTGTCATGCAGCTCTGTGTAAGCCTCACAAGCTCTCAGACCTGCAGGCTCTCCTGTCCAGTTTTGATTTCCTGCCTGTCTTGTGTGCGTGACCCCTCTTGACGCACACACTGAGCTGCAGGAGCCGTCTTTTGATCGCTGTGGTTCTCTTTTGTTGTTGTACACTTCTTTAGCAGAGTCTACCTATTCTCCTGTCGCTCCTCCTTCCTGTCCACGTTAAATCTCCTGGTTTGATAATGTGTCATTCTGATTCTCTGCAGCCACATGTTATGTCAGCACTTAGAATATGACCCTGATTTGACTCACAAGTGTTGGTCTAGCTTCGAGGGGTTTACACTTATTGCCTCAATCCTGCTCCTCTCCAGTCTCAGGAGGCATGACTAATTGTTCCATAACTACATGTTTTTTCCTTTTTAAATTTACAAATGCGTATATACAACTATGCATTGCTTAGAAATGAGACTCATGGATTTAAGCAGAGCCCCTATCTGAAAGATATTCCTCAAGAACTGAGTAAATATACAGTGGCTTGATTGAATGCTTGGATTTAGTTCTGTGAAAACACGTGATTTTAAGTTGTAAAAATACTCTACACTAGTAGGCTCTTTTGGAACACATAAAAGATTTTCCTTGATAAAGCCAGAGGGGTAGAAAATAACATTTTTTTCCAATAGACATCATTTCGTTCTGCCTGTCCATCATGAAGTCTACATTCAGGCAAAAATCCTAAAGATAGTAATTGCATTTTTGGGGATTTGCAGTAGGAACAACTCCCCCCCCCCGTGTTGGCTGAAGTCTGAACACAGTAAGACTTTGTGCTTATTTTCTGTCTCTTTGTTTCAGATGAATCTCCTGCTGAAGGAGTACCTGGTGTCAGGTGAAGTGTCTGAGGCAGAGCGCTGTCTGCGAGACCTGGAGGTCCCGCACTTCCACCACGAGCTGGTCTATGAGGTATTTAAAGACACCACAAGAATTTTTCTGACAGTCCAAATGATTCGGATTAATTTTATTACCTCAACAACAACATTTCCCCTCATAGTGAAGAAGAAAACAAACAAATGGTTTCAGGCTAATGTAAACATTTTCCAGCAGAAATGTGAACCAAACCAAAATCAGATACTTCTTTTTTTTTTTTTATAGTATAAATTCAGCAGAGGTGAGGTTTAATTTCTTTAGAATTGTTTTATGCTCACATTTTGAAAATAAAATACAAATAACTTAAAAGCAACAAGTGAAACTCTTTAAAAACTGTATTCCCCCTTTCCTTGTGCCCAGTCCAGTGCACTACAGAGAAAAACTACTGAAAGGAAAATATATTTAGCCAAGAACTGTGAATGTTGGGGTCAACGTTTGCATTGTGTGTATTAACAGCACTCAGTCCAAATCATTGATCCAAAGTGGAGCAGAACATTGAATTAGATAGGACTGAACTTTCCAAATGTAGCTCAGTGATTGCGTACGGGTTGAGGAAGAAAGTTATACATTTAAGTTAGCTTTCTTTTTCATTTTGAAGGGCCTCAGCTGTGTGCATAGTGAACGAGGTGCTGCTTCTGTAGTCTTTTCTACATGTGGAAAATATGTCTTATCAGTTTTTATTTATCTGTCTATAAATACCAATAAAAAAAAAGTTTTTCTTTAAGGATTTAAAGCGCTCCGCCTGTAGCATTCCCTTTGCAAACACTGCCACCCAGTGGAGAAAATAAGCATCTTACACATTTTGTACAACTTCAGCTGATGCTGACCGAACTGTTAGAAGATTGAACCACACTCCTCTTCAATGTACATATTTAATGTTTGATCGTTGTTTTTCAGGCTGTAGTGATGGTGCTGGAGTCGAAGGGAGACACTGCCAGTCACATGATGATGAAGCTGCTGCAATCCTTCTGGAAAACAGGCCTCATCACTGTGGATCAGATGAACAGGGTCAGTGCCTTTTTTTTTATTCTCGTCAATGGAACATGGAGCTTTCTCTATGACGTGATCTTAATAAGGTTAGCGGTTTACCTCATAGTAACACAGTCCATGTTGTACTCTTGCAGGGTTTCCAGCGTGTCTATAGCGAGCTCCCTGAGATCAACCTCGACGTGCCGCACGCTCACTCCATCATGGAGGCCTTTGTGGACCTCTGCTACCAGGAGTCTGTCATCACCAAGCAGCTGAGGGATGCCTGTCCCTCCAGGTTAGTTATCATTTTATTACCACCAGTAACCTTGTCATTGTCATATTTAGATCATTCCATGTAGCTGGTGTTATGCTCTTTTTTTTTGCCGTAGTCGACAAATGCCACAAGATTAACAAAACCTTTTAGACTTCATCTACCATTTTCTGTGGCGCTATTAGCCCAACATTGATCATTGAAGTACAAATGCATTTTAGAATATTGTTGGATTTGAAAAAATAACAGTAAAGGCCTGGTTATATCCTAGAACAGCTAGGTACTGATTTCTCTAGTGTTTTTTTTAAATGTATTTTTGAGCACTATGTTGTGATATTAGGATGATGATGTGGTCTTAAACTGCAGTGACTGTGTTTGTTTTAATGAAGGATCAGTTTACCAAGTAGGTCTTTGAAATGCTTTTAATACATTTTGAACAACATTGGAGCTCTTTGGCCCAGAGCTAAAAAAAAAATAACTACACTTGTTGTTATTAATATTTATATGACAAATATCTAACATACAATTTACAAATGTAACCTTCCTTAACCTTTTTTATGATATTAGTTGCACAACGTTACAATTGCATGACTTATTGAAACTTTTTTTCATCCACTAGAGGGCGGAAGCGTTTTGTCAGCGAAGGAGACGGTGGAGTGATCAAGAGCTAATCGACAAGAGAAAAAGAAAAAGGATGAGGATGGGTGTCTACAGGTTCATTCACCCGGTTTCTGCTCCAGCATGTCTTCTCCTGACACCAGGCGTGCTGGAAGTCTCAAAGTTTCCTTTTCCCTCTCTTGAAAATATTGTCAATACATAAACCAGCGTTGACGTTTGGTGAAAGTAGACTGACGAGTGGTTTCAGGCGTTCAGTCCCATTCATCTTGTTAATCACCGTTTTTGACTTTTGTAAGAATACTCTTTATTTCTGGGATTTGATGCACCCCTCTCTCGGCAGTCTTTGTACCTGTTACTCCAGAAGTATACTAGAGTGGCAGGATTACAGGTAGACAGGCTGAATTTTTTGGAAGATATTTTTTTCTTTGCTTACCTTCGCCATGTTTAATTTTTCTCATGTGCTGCATTATAAAAAAAAAAAAAAAAGCACTTAAAAGAAAAAGCAAACTGTACAGTCAGTGGGCCCTGAGTAATTCAGCTCAACTGAGCCTTTTTTTCTGCCACAAATGATGTGAAATTATTTCAAGGACAGCCTGCTTTGTAGCTTCTAGCTCAATTGGTTCTATTGATCCTTTCTGAACAGCTTTTTTTGTTCTCCTTGTTTCATTCGTTCTTGGTCTCTAAGGCCAAATGTTCACTTTGTAAAACACAGCATTTAAAGCAAGAAGTTTTTTGGAACTGTTTTGGGTTTGTTATTCAGTATATTGCATTATAGGCAATTTACGTTTTGAAAAATAAAAAATAAGTGTAAAATAAATTAAAAAGCAAAAAAACTGAGCACTCTGACTTTGATTGTTATTAATAAATATTCAGCTCACAGAGTCAGCAATTTATTGTCAACAGTTATACAAACCCTATGTTTAAAAAAAAGTTTCTCTGGACTTGGAATCAGTTTGTGAAATTGCAACCCCAGCCTTTCTTTGAAGACAATATGTCGGGCATATTCAGACTTTACTGCCACTGCCTGTAACAGTTATACATGTTGACCAAAGTTAAAATATGTTGCTACAAAACTATATTTCATTCATTAAAAAAAAGCAAAATAATAAAAGTTTCTCTATGTTTTTGTGTGTTCATGAAAGCCAGAGTAAATGATTGGGCAGCTTTAGTGAAGTTAAATATCATTAGCATCATCAGTTGTGGTCCACTATGGTAATTTCACATTTGTCTTGCACTTGTAGCAGCTCTTGTATCTTTTCTTATATGAAGATGGCTGGTGTAAACCTGTCACCGAGCAGCAGTTTGAGTCTGAAGGATTATTTTCCTAAGGCTCGAACTCTTGACTCCATTAATGGTACTTCTACTTCAAAGTCATGTGTCTTCGTAGCACAGCCAAGTTAAGCCTAATGCCAAGTGTAAATAACTGGTCATGGGAAATTATGATAAAATTGTTCATAGTTGGAAACGGGTGTAATACAGGGTGTAATACATGGTGTAATACATGGAACACATTAATGCATGGAGCTGTCTTGTGTGAGGCTGTAATGTTGTTTTTGTATACCTACAGTCATCTTTGTACAATGGACAATTTCTTTTGGATCGACAAACTGTTCATAACACACTCACAAACACAAGAAGTTCATATATATTTAAATAAAATTACATATTTCCCTGTAATTCATACTTTGACGTTTTATTCTTGTACATACCGGTGTGTGTCATATTAATAATAATATATTTCCCGAATTTATTTTCATGAACTTTCACCTTGCACGTGCACACAGCAAGAGAACAAATACAATTTCAAAGGTACATTTTTAAACTCAAAAAAGGGGACAATACTTTTTGTTCAATATAAATGTATTTACCAGCTATCTCATTTATTTTTGGTAGTTCTATAAGGGAGAGGCGTGTACTCGATGACGTCACACACACACCACTAGGGAGCGGACTAACACGTCAGTTAAAGCGAGTTGTAACCAGGAAGTGGCTCCTGAGCTAGCAACGGATAATGAGCAGCTGAGACTCTGCCATTTTTTTTTTTTTTTTACAGGTTGGTAACCATTTAATGAATTAACTTTAAACCAGACCCAGTTGCTGAACCAGTATTTAATCAGTAGCTGTCTTGTAAAAGCCACATTGTACTGCTAAAACCGGTCGGTTGTGTTAAACCTGTGAGCATTACGACAACACTAGCGAGTAGCCCCATGTTGCATTGCCGGGCTGCAGAGGCGAGTCAGTCACCAACTTGATGTTTTTTAATGGTAAGAACAGGTGCCTCTCGACGCTACTTCAATCTGAGACTCTTTGTGTAGTTATCGAGTGTAATTTTGAAATGGTCGCGGCCGTAATTGCGCCATTTCTGCCTTCATGCACCTTTCAAGGTACCGTCAGTCTAGTTTATATTCCGCTTGTTGTGAACTTGGCTTATGAGGTTTTCTAAGTAAGACTTTGCCATCAATATGTTTTGCGTAGTGTGGCCCTTATAAGGTACAAGTTAAGGTCATTATTCATGTTCAACAACTCCCTAACTTACTATCAATAGCTGTAATTAAGATGGTAAGGAGGCCAAATCTTAGTTATTGTTATTGGCCTAATAGCTATTGACTAAGGTCGTGTACAATAAGATAGTAATAATGAATAATAAGCTGCCAGTATTCTATTAAATAACATGAAAATAAGCAACTAGTTAATGCAGAATAATGATCCTCAAAATTAAATATAAACAGATCAAAAACACATTTTAATGAAAGTTATTTGTAGTCTGAACATGTTTTAATACCTGCAGTGCAAAAACATGGCATAATTTAATACAAAATATTATATCTTGGGCCTTTAAGCCTCTATTTGATAGTACAGCCATAGTGAGAGGTTATGTGGGTTGGGAAAGCGAGGTACAACATGCCACCAGACTGTGCCAGGACAAGGAGTCAATCCTGGGACCAGTGTGACAAGGATCACTCTTGGGTGCCTGCTCTACTAATTGTGCTAAACTAGTGCCCCCCCCCCCCCATGCACTAGATTTACTCTAGATCAGGGTCTCCAACCTTTCTTCATCTGAGAGCTACTTTGAAAAAAAATGAAAGTGGCCAAGGGCTACTTGCATCAAATCGCTTGCATTTATTTACATAGCGCACATCAGCTGGATTAAGCTGCTGTTTGTACACATGTGAAACTGGAATAAGCCAATGCTTATTCACCAATGTCCAACCCACCGCCAGAAATCTAGGAATAACATTCGATTGCAATCTCACCTTTGAATCCCATATCAAAACAGTTGTCCGATCAAGCTTCTTCCATCTACGCATCATCTCCAAAATTAAAACAATCCTAACCCAACGAGACCTTGAAAAGATCATCCACGCCCTCATCTTCTCCCGACTTGACTACTGTAACTCCCTCTTTTCCGGAATCACAAATAAGTCACTGTCTCGCCTCCAGCTGGTCCAAAATGCAGCAGCTAGGCTTCTTACTGGTTGTAACAGACGACATCACATCACTCCAATTTTAGCTTCATTACACTGGCTTCCTGTACGTTTTAGAATCGATTTTAAGATTTTACTCATTACTTTTAAAGCACGGACGGGGCTGGCTCCAAGCTATATAACAGAGTTACTGACACCATATGAGCCAGCCCGCAGTCTTAGATCCTCAGGTGGGGGCCTCCTGGTCGTTCCAAAGTCGAGACTTAAAACTAAAGGTGACCGGGCCTTTTCAGTCAGGGCCCCTAGACTTTGGAACGACCTCCCTGAGGAGATAAGACTTGCAGATTCCCTCAATTCTTTTAAATCCCTTCTTAAAACATACTTTTACAGACTTGCTTTTATGTGATGTCGTCTTCTTAATGTCTTCTCTTACTGGTTTTACTATTTTTATCTTCTTCTACTTCTTACTGTCTTTTATTTATGGTCTTATCTCGTATTTACGCTCATATCTTAATCTCCTCTTGTGTTTTAACTTGGTAATTTCTTATCTTACTTACTTTGTCTATTTATGTTTCGTATTTATAGTTAATTTTTATTTTTATTAATATTATAGTTTTGGGTTTTTTGATCCTTTAACCACTTGTTTTTATTTCTTTTACTGCTCTTACCTTCTTATTGCTTTTTATTTGCCTTTATCTCTTAGTTTCTTACATCTTTCTAAATCTTTGGTCCTCTTGGTCTCAGCTCGTGTTGTTGGGTTCTTGTGTTTCCTGGGTTCTTATGATGGTTCTTGTGATGGTCGGGTTATATATGTCTGGTTGTGTATCGTGCACTTTGGGTTCTTTTCTGTTGAATTGTATTTAATTATTTTTGGTATTTTGCATCTGTTATATTCTTACTGTTGTTAATGTTTTTCTGTGTTTGGTTTAGTTGTTTGTCAAAGCACTTTGTAAACCTGTGTTTTTAAAAGGTGCTATATAAATAAAGTTATTATTATCAATAATCTTAAATTCACATCAAGGTCCAAGAAAAAAAAAGTGAATATTTTACACTTCTTATTGTGCCACATAGTAAACTATGTTGCTGAAAATTCGCATCAAGGTCCAAGAAACATTACTACTTTACACTTGTTTTTATGGGCCATGAATAGTGGGAAGAGGTGCATTTACTGTAGTCAGATTTATTTTTATTTTTAACACAGTCAGTCAACCTATAGGTGAGCTACTGAAAACTTGCCTACCTGTAGCTCCCGAGTTACCTGTTGGAGACCCCTGCTCTAGAACTACATAATAAAATTTGTAAACATTTAACTTTGTAAAACTAAAACATGTTCCTCTCTCCACTTGCGTCTCCAGCTTCAGAAGGGCATGATGGGCAGGCAGAGGAAGAGGGTGGTAACTGGTGAAGCTGCTCCCCCTCCAAGGAAAGATGAGAAGCCCTCTGCATTACACCGCAAAGAGAAGAAGAAGAAAGTTGATATTGGAAAAATCTTCATCAACATCTCAATTGGCCTCTGCATATTCAGCCTGATCTGGTTCTTTTACGCCCTCTACATGCGGTCAAGCCTGGCCAAACGTGTGGTGACCCTGCATCCGTCATCTCATGTCCTGGATGCTAACAGCAGCAGTGCCAAGGTTTCCCCAGAGAGGTTCTGGGGCTCATACAGGCCTCAGGTCTATTTTGGCATGAAAACCAGGAGCCCAGTTCAATTGTGACAGGTAGGCTGACATAGTAATAGTCTAGTTCATTCAATTTGTGGCAGAACAACTAAAGCAGTGGTCGTACCAAAGAAGCTTTCTCTTTAAACATTATCTGATTGTTTATGTATATCCAATATAATATCATACAGAATGAGACTGATGACTCTGATTAACAGTATATGGTTTGATAATGAGTCCTTATTTGGGATTTGTAGGCTGTCATGGTAAAGCAGGAAGGGGAGTATTGGTCACTCAGGTAAACATTAATATGTTTAAAGATTGAAACCATTTTCAGGGATTTTCTATACCTCATTTATTCCTCATTTATACAGTTGTATGCTGATATAACAATGACATAGAGTGAACATACAATAGATGCTACCTTTAATGTGAAAATCAGACTAAAATCTCAAATCATAGAAAACTGTTTCATGATTGGATTTTCCCTCTAATATTGAATCCTTTGCTTTAACAAAATATTTGCCCTGCTGTAATAACCAAGTCTTCACAGTTGAATTGCACTACATCAGGAACAGGTTGGGAAAAAAGCCCAGGCACTTGTCAAAATCAAGTAAATTTTTGCCACAGTTCCCAGCACTGTTTACGCTGTCAGCCAATTTGGATGACCAATATTGTTAATTAGCTGAAAGCACAAACGGCACCATATTTTCCAATATTGAGTTAAGACAGATAATTAAGCACTGCTGTGCTCAAAACTAAATTGGCTGGTGAAATGCTTGCATGTAGCCACTGGTTTTTGGGACTAACATTTATGTGAAAGTCTTTTATTTTCTAATCATTTGTGCTGTACAACTGAATATTCCTTCTCACATGGTTATATCTCCCCAGGCATGATGTGGATGCGTCAGTTCTCTGACCTGGATGTAAACTTGAGGCACACTTGTGAGCAAGGGGATCGCTTGCAAGGCTATGGCTGGCTGATGCATGATGGGATTACCTTTGGCGTCCAGGAAATCAGAGATAACGATTTCACACTAACCACAGAGTTTGTCAAGAAGATGGGAGGGGATCACGGAGGAGACTGGACCTGGAGGATCACTGCTAAACAGCATGTGAGTACTGAATATTTATTCTACTATGTGTACAGATATTCTTATCATTACCAAAATATGTTTTGCATGGTAAACATTTACCAGTAAATTGTAGTTAAGACTTTTATGAGATAAATACTTTCTGTGACTTTCTTCCAGAGCTCTGCCCCTCAAGCGCCCGTCATCTCCCTGATGTTTTACGCAGCGGCAGACACACAGGGCTCACTGGAGGCTCATGTTGAGGAGAGAAACCGCCTTGCATCCATCACTGGTTTCTCAGAGGAGCTTGGCAACTTTAAGATTACCTTCCGAAAGCCGGTTACCGGGGAATTATCCAGCGCTAAATATGCCAGGTAAAAAAATGCAAGAATACAGGAGTGAAGTCTGCAGCAATGAGTGACCATGGAGAAATAAGCAGGAGGGGAAACACTGTATACTAACTGCTAGTGCTCAGTCTAATCAGACCAACACACAAACCTTCATGGGAAAATTGACAAGTCATCATAATATTGTAGCAATACAAAGTGACAGTTTATACTTCATATGAGTAAAAATGTCCATGCTTTAAATAGCATATGGATATTTACAATGTATGATGAATCAAAAAACAATTTACTGTATTTATTTAATCTTTATTTAACCAGGAAAGAAACTCCAAGATAGGCAGCAGCACAACTAACAGAGTTAGCCAAACAACGAGCAGCCAAACATACAACTTTAAAAGACACAAATAACAAATGTTAACAGCAAATGTTTTTACCAAGATCATCCACAAACCTTTCAGGGAGAACATCCACAGCTAGATGTGTCTGCCTCTAAGTCATTTAACAGCCTCTTAAAAGCATCCAACAAATTTATAGACATTTTATAGAACAAATTCACTGACTTAATGACTCCTCTGTGGCAACTTTCCTAATTCTTACCAACAGATGTATGAACTTTGGATGGTTCTTAGTTCTGTCATGCTGTATTGTAGTGTAACCATACATTATTAATGGGGTTATAAGAAAATCCCACCACTAGATGGCAGCAAAATGAGAACTTTCAGTCTTTGTTTTATCAATTTCTTAATCCAACAACACACTGGAATTAGGAGGAATTATGATTTCTTAATTCCACATTTTCAGAATGTTGTGTGCTCTGGATAATACCAGCACATGCTTTTCTATTTTGGTTTAAAACAAAAAAGGAAAATAAAAAACAAACCCTTTATGTAAGGTGCTCTGGTCTTCCTTTTTGAGATGTCACCGAGCTGTCATGTTAATCAGTGACAGGGTTCATTCACTTCGTCGTTGCAGTATTTTTATATTGAGTGGATCAGGACTCACATGGAGCTCCACTATTTCACACTTGCATGAGGGCCAGAGAAGACCAGCGTAGCAAAATTAAAAGGTACGGTATGCGTTGATAGAAATGATAGAAATGGTTTGAAATAAGATTTCTTGCAGGAACATGGATCATCAAGTGCTAGTGGGAGCATAGAATTTGATTTTACTGCGACTGTTGGCCTAACATCTGAGTCACCAGTACAGTATGAGACTGCAAAGCTTGCAAAATGCCTTTAGGCTATGACACAATGTGCTAAGGTTTCACAAACATAGCTAGTGCAGTTGAGATCACTTGCATATTAGTGGATGACTAAAACAACTTAAAAGCCTATTGTCACTATTTTGATTTCAAGTTTGATAAAACAAAGGGCAGTTAACTATAAAGTTCCTTGTCTTTTCAGTTACAACTATCTTCAGACTGTTCCCCCGGCTTGGAGAAGCTGACTGACATTGTCAAGCACAGTCTGAACCGCAGGTTTGTATACAGCTCGCCTTCTGGTGAGAAGAGACATTACATAGCTGTAGACACCTACAAGCCCCCTCACCACCAAAACCAACAGAATCCTGCGGACATAAGGAAAGAAAGCGACTTTGTGGTCCACCAGGTGACTGTCCAAACGCCATTCCAGATTGAAGTCCTGTTTGAGTCTGGGAGCTTTCACAACCGTCCTAACCAACTCGTAGGCTCAATTATGACTCAGGAGCTGGAGAAGAGGAAATCTGAGTTTGACACAAAGTTTGAAAAGACTTTTGGGCTTGAGAGCAAAGGCTATAGCCATTCACATATCAAGTTCGCCAAAGCAGCACTCAGCAACATGCTTGGTGGAGTGGGCTATTTCTACGGCCAGTCAGTAGTTCAATCCGTCTACAATGAATACCCATTACTATACCCTGAAGGTGCTTTATTCACTGCAGTACCATCACGCTCCTTCTTTCCCAGAGGCTTCCTTTGGGATGAAGGCTTTCACCAGCTACTGCTCAGCAAGTGGGATCCCCAGGTGACCAGGGAGGCTATTGCCCACTGGATGGACCTGATGAATATGGAGGGCTGGATCCCCAGGGAGCAGATCCTGGGAGACGAGGCTCGCAGTAAAGTCCCAGCTGAGTTTGTTGTTCAGCGCAATGAGAACGCCAATCCACCTACTCTTTTCTTGGGTCTTCAGGAGCTTATTCAACAGTTTTCTTCAAATCCAGATAAGACGGCGTCTCAAGCAACCTTGCCTTTTCTTCGAAGACTGTTCCCCAGACTTAAAACCTGGTTTGAGTGGTACAACACCACACAAACAGGACCCCTACCAAACTCTTACCGTTGGCGTGGACGTGACAAGGACACCAATCTTTTCCTAAATCCCAAAACATTGACCTCTGGGCTGGATGACTACCCTCGGGCCTCACACCCATCTGCAGATGAGCGCCATGTGGATTTACACTGCTGGATGGCCCTGTCTTCAGGCATCATGGCCAGTATAGCCAAACTTTTAGGTGAGTCACATCAGGACTATGAACTTTCCCACAAAGTACTCAGTGACAACAACCTGCTGAATGAGCTCCACTGGTCAGAACAACTCAGGTCTTTCAGTGATTTTGGAAACCACACCCAGGCTGTGTCCTTGCAGCAGGAGAAAGTGTATGTGCCACCCGGACAACCTCGACATCAGTTCCCTGTAGCTCGCCTTGTGCGCTCTGTCCGCCGGGCCCCCAAGCAGCAGTTTGTTAATGCTTTGGGTTACATTAGCTTGTTCCCTTTCTTACTGCACATTCTTACACCGGATTCACCCAAACTAGAACATATCCTTCGTGACATGAGAGACTCAAATAAGCTGTGGACACCCTATGGCCTGCGTTCACTGTCTAAGTCTGATCCAATGTATATGAAGCGAAACACAGAACATGATGCCCCCTACTGGAGGGGACCGATATGGATTAACATCAACTATTTGGCAGTCAGAGCCCTGCACCACTATGGCAACGCGGAAGGACCATACAAAGAGAAAGCAGCTGCTCTTTATGAGGAACTCAGGACTAATATTATCAATAATGTTATAGACAGTATATTGAAACAGGCTATATCTGGGAACAGTACAATGACAGCACTGGCAGGGGCCAAGGTAGCCACCCCTTCACTGGCTGGTCTGCCCTGACAGTATTAATGATGGCTGAACAGTACTGATACTGTGTATTCAACTCAATTGTTCTGAGATGTTTTCCTTTAATTTATCCAAAACAAAAACATGATCAGGATAGAAAGTAGTATTTCTTGAATGCATGAAAACTATTTAAATCCAGCATAAAAATAAGTCTCACCAGACCAATTTGAAATGGATTAAATCTGGAACTTCTCAGTTCCTATCTGATACTAATAGGCTTATTCAACATGCACAGAGCTTTGTTAAAACATGATTCAGAACTTACTCATTGTACATAACATGAACTACTGTCCTCTTCGGAAATACTGATGTTACAAGAAATTCAGACTGTTTCACATTGCAGCAGCCATCCTGGTTCACAATGAAAATGTCTCAGTGGCTTTCTAACCGTTACAGTTTTACTTCTTCTAAATACTAAATTAACAGTTAAGATTGGCCCAACCACACAGGTTGGCTGGAAATCTGTCTGAGAAGAAGGAGGAACAAACGCATCTGCCAGGTAAAAAAAAAAAAAAAAGCTCTGGAAGATTTGCCTGGTTCCCAGTCTAGAATAATATCACTCATATAGCATTGCCATGTTTAACTTACAAAAAAAAAAAAAAGTATTTTTCACACAGGTATTCTCTATGGAGCAATTTCATACAAGTGTAAGTGCAGCTACTCTGTTTTTGCTATGTGGTGCCAAGCACTGTCTGGTGCTTCAATTTTATACTTAAGATGCATTTAGGAAACCCTGAACTCATATACCTCACAACTTCATACCACACATCAAACGCCATGTTTAATTTGGAAAATCAGGATTGATGATGACAGTCATTTTTCTTTTGTTTGCTGAGAAGTGCTGGTCTCATTCTTGCACACTGTAAGTGAAGCACTATATGTTCAGATTTGAGAAAAGGAGTGCATAAATTAACATTTTTGCAGTCTTTTGACGAAAAAAAAGGGCCTTTGTACTTTATGGCGCCATTTATTTTTTATCAAATGTCCTAAGTTTTTTTTTTTCTTTAATAATTTACAATTTTGATATTTAATTGTTTGGTCACAGTCTTAGAAAAACATTGTTCTAAAATATCTTGCCAATGATTTCTTAAATAACCGCTTTAAAAAGCAGCCATATTTTGTATCTACAGGCCGTGGTTTTACTGACAGGGATAATTCATTGACGGTGATATCAGTATAGTTTTGTTAAAAACAATAAATGGTTCAAATTTGTTTCAGACTACTGTACTTTTTGGTTATTTTTCTTCATTATCTACACTGATGAAAGCAAATTATTTATTGAATCCAAACCTAAAGCGTCAGTCTCAGCTTGTTCTGTATTACACAAATAACCATATCCCTCAGTTGTTTCTTCTTTTTGTTAAGTATTTTGTCTGTCATGATCGTGAGTAACTACAGTCAATAAAAGAATCATATGATGCCTTCACAAAAAAACCACATGGTTATCTTTAATTGAAAATACTATCGTCTAATCCTGGATTTATTTAATGTGTTGTAGAACAACTTTGGATAGACTACTGTTTAATGTGACTGAATCCTCAATTCCAAGGTGAGAATGAGGCAGTAAACACCTTTTTGATCGATTAAACTTTGAGTTGCTGCATGTTACGGGAAAAAGATGTACTGTATGCATACTTTTTGAATGTATGCACTTTTTTTTTTTTAGATGAAACCCCGGCATGAATCCCCTTTTGTGTTCTGTCCTAATCTTTCTATGATCAAAACCATGCCTAGAGTTTATATTATCAAAAAAAAATACAAAACAGGTTGAATGAGAAGTCAGGGGATTTCAAACTCAAAATAATTACAGCTGTAATAGTAGATTTAGCAGAAGTTATTGATTTATCGATTTTCCAGCATTATGACTACAAAGCCCAAAGCGTTACCTGCCTCAACCTGTTGATAATACACTTCACATATTCTGTACAAATGTCGCCAACCTCTGTCACTCAGAGCTCTTTCGTTGTTAGCTGGCACATTTGAAGGCCGCAAGCTGACGTCAGGCTGCTGTTTTGCATGGTTTCCATGGAGCACAGTTGCTGTGAGGGCTCAGTGCCTAATTAGCTAAAATCAAAAGGCATGGAAGCTACATTGATGGCAAATTATTTTCACTTTCACTGGTATACAGGCACACACCGACCATGCAGTGGCAATGTGCATATTAATACTTTGACACTAAATATAAACTGAGTATTGAGAGTGATGATACAAGCTGTGAGTCTGTGTGCACGACCCCTGTACTCCACCCTCGACACTTCTATGAATCCTTTGAATGTACTACATGTGCAGTTGTATAGTCGGAGGCTTGGCATGGTGCATTAAGGTTGCACGGCTAAAAATAGTGCCTCTATCAGTTAGCAGAACAGCAGAAAGGCTGTGAAGCAACAGGATGGTTGTTTTGCCACATTTATTTCAAGCAACAGCCTGTCCCTCAGATTTTATACTCGTGAGAAAAGTAGATACCAAAAATTACATGAATTAACATTGCAACTGTGTGCATTGTTAGAAATATTACAGACCTAGCTTTTAGCTGTTTTTCAACATGGTTTATAGTTCAGTTGAGAGAATATTTTGCAGATTTGAATCTCAGAAAAAGAGTGTATGATGTATCAATGTGCAATAACTGTCTTTAGGCTATGTTGTAGGAAACACAAGCTAATCTTTGACCTTCTGAGCTGCTTGCGCAAATCCCAATGTCTAGGGAATGGGACACAGATGAGCCATATCCTCTGCCTTTCGCTGTTTCTCTCAGAGGGAAATGGATTCCACATCCCCTCAATGCAACTACAGTTGAAAATGCATTTATTTCTTTGAAGAGTGCGGACAATCTGTGTGACTAAAGCACTCACTGCGCAATCCATCCCCCTCACCCAAGACCCTTTTTTCACAGTGAGATGGGATAATAGCCAAACAGCATCAGAGCTAACTAATGTGACTGCATAATAAACAGATGAGTCAGGGACTATTCATTTGCATATCATCCCAACCTTATCAGAGCTTCTATATAGGGGATATTTTATGATTGCCTGCAGCCAGTGAATTGACTGGTGAGTGCACTGAACATGGAGTGAACATGGTGTCCAAATGGCTGCCCCTTAGTGTTGAAAGAGACTCTTAAAAAAAAAAAAATGGAAATCATTATACATCTGCAGAGTAATTATAAAGTTGTCTAATAGTGTCTGGAAAGACCCCCCTTGTAGCGATGACTGCTGTACTGAATGTAATTACTGGGAACTTATGCTAGAGGGAGCTAATTAATAAGGCATTTGTGAGTGGAAAAGAGGCTTTCTGAATACAGCTTAGCGATCATTTTACTTACAATGGAGAGCTACTCAAAATTAAAGCAGTATAAGTGGATAATTATGCTAATGGCTCAATTTGGATTTAAGATATGGTGGCAGGCTATATTTCTCCATGATCAGTGCTCCTGCATTACAGCCGCTCTCACACAGGTTTTCTGTGTGTATGTGGGCTTTGTATGCTCATATCATCTCACTGGAGAAGTCAGATGTTTTGTCAGTGGCCACATGGTAATATGTGTGTAAGAGTGTATGTGTTTGTACACTTCTGGCATAACTTCTTTTGCCTCCAATACAAAAGAAACAAGGCTTTTTGGGGATTGACTCAGAATCCCTGCTTCATGTGACGTATGCATTATATCTTTGTTTATTCCTCAGGCTTCATGACAATGGACTGTTTAATATGTCAATTATCATCAGCACACTGTATGTTAATGTTGTCCGTAGATTTGGACCTTGACATCTCTGCCCTCCCAGGACAGTGTAACAGTGTTTGTTCTCCCTGACATCAAAGCAGCAAGCCTTCCTTCCTCTATTTTAATCACTCGCCGTCAGCATTATCATCCACTCCGTCCTAATTGCTGTTTATCCTTCATGTTTTTCTGTAAAACAGCCTCCAGGATCCAGTCTCTCTAGCTCTCTGTACCCTGCCTTTGCCCCCCAGAAGCTTGCTGCTGAGCACCAAACTTGCCTCAGCCAACATAGGTCTATGTATGTTATGTAAGGCCCACTATAAATAGGTTCACCCGGGATCTTTTGTCTTTACCTGATTCGCTCTTAGCCCAACAGTTTTTATTTCTGGAGAGAGCTGTGGAAGCTAGTGCAATGTAGAGCTGGCCGTTTCCATAGTTACTTTTGTTAGCTGCAAGCTCTTAACATTCTTCATCTGTTTCCTCACATGTCTGATGTTGGCTATTTGTTTGAATCCGTTTGAATTGCATGTCGCTGTAATGACTGTGTGTGTGCATTGATAAATCTGTAATGGATACAGTTATTTTGGATTATTTACCTTCTTATTGTTTCATGCACGCTGCTGTGTGAATGGAGTGGAGAAAGTGCAACAAATAGAAATCAGTGTGGGAGCAGATGAGTCAGAGCCTAGAATATGCAGACATATTAACTTCTGTTGGTCAACAGTACATGCAATTAGTCCCATGTTGTATGATAATGATTTTTGTTGTGAATGTTATTGAGCTGCGGTCCAAAGAGATTGTTGCTGTATCTGGTACATAAATAACCCAGATATTTGCATTTTGACACACATCTACAGTTATCTAACATACTTGCAGTTTTCTGTTGTTTTTTTTTTTTTAGGTTGAATGAAACGTTTGAGGAGACATTAAAAGAAAATATAAAACTGCTCTCTTGTGTTTCATGGATTTCTTTAGCAGTTAGGTAACAGCAGGTACAGTAGCTGGATCAGGCCCAAGAATTGGACTGTCAGAGTGCTGCAAGCATGGATCCAGCACAGAAGAGGGCAAGTTGGGAGCCATGCGAGTGCGGTGTGTGTGGAGGAGTCTGGGGGCATGGTTAAAGAAACACTGGGGCATTCCGCAATCACGATTGGAGAGCTGAGTATGATTCTCACCCATCCCTGTTGTAAAACCAAAGAGTACAGGCGGCTGGGGACCAAAGTGGGCGAGTGCGAAAGTATTTTTGGATCGCACGGGAAACCTGCCACACCAACAGCAGCAGCAGCATCGGGGCCTGGTACCGGGCTTCCCTAACCCACTCCCACTCTCAGAGGAAGAGCAGGAGAGAGATGTTCCTTCAAAAGAAGAACCACGCTTCCGCTGCTTTCATTTTTCTTAGTTGTGCTATTTTCCTTTCAATTGCCCAGTGTTGGAATGATGATGTAGTATATATAACTATGCAGAGCCCAACATGACAGAAAGAGAGAGAGAGAGAAAAAATAACGAACTTGGCAGCTGAAGCGAGTATCCTGTATTTATAGAAAGTCGTGTTTCCGGCAGAGGTTTCTGTGGTTTTAGCACTCCCAATCCATTTTGCGGTGTCTTACAGGCCCTATTGTATCCAGGTTTAGATTGAAGATGTTCCCTCATCGAGCGCCTGGGGGGGAGATTTTACTGTGAGACATGTCAGAATGTGATTTGGGGGAGGCAGATGGATTTCTCCGGCTCTTGTGCAACCCTGGCTTTCGTAGGATTTCGCAAAAAAAAAATCTGCTTTGCATCCTTAAACTTAAAAAGGTATTAGTCAAAAGTACAACACAGCACTTAAGGCTGAATATAAATGTGTTTCTTGTAGGATAAATATGCATATTACTGCTATGAGGGTGTATAAAAATCTACCATAATTTAAAAAATAAATACGTCAAAAACACTCTCAGGTTTTTTAGCATTTGTCCTGCAGACCCACTACAGTATTTCCTGTATAACCTCTCCAGATCATGGTTGCTTTTAAATGCTTTTGTATTTCAAACAGCAATGGCAGCCTCTGCATCTCAGTGGATTTCCTGCTATGGATCAGCTTCTTCTATTATTTACTCTCAAACAGTGTGGGTTGCATAGTTGGTTGACAGAATGCCAAGGCGTTGAGACTTTGAGGAGCTACTGTACATGAAGTGAGACATATTTCATGTTGAAGTTAGAATGATACGTTTTTTTTTTGGTTTTTTTTTAAAAAGATCACATTTCTTGCTGTCAAGTAGATGTTGCACAAAAAACATTTAACACTTGAATGTATCTGGTCTCGAGACAAGAGTTACTTCAGTTAAAAATGTGTTAAGGTCTGAGAATTTTTTTTTCTTCTTCTAAATTTAGACTTGCCTTTGTAAATCCATGGATGAACACAAAGTGGCTACTGATTTTCAATAAAGGGTGAGGGTACTCCACTTAACTGCTTAAACCAGAATAATAATAACAGTGATACACACATTACTTCCAAACGGGTTCTAGTCACCTAAAGACCCTATCTGAGGCTCGAGGTCAAATGCTGTTTTATGTGTTTGGAAAGTTGAAAATCGAAACCCTTAAACCAACATGTAAGGAGCAGAATTAGATGGAATATGATCCATTGACGTGTGTTTAGTTTTTGTCAATAGTTTGACTTTCGCACAGTTCAGAAAAATCAACAAGATACAGCTAATCTCATCCTGGAATTAAATGTGTTTGTTAT